AGCTTTTCCACAGTTGTTTTGAACCTTACGTCAAACTCAACCTTTCCCACATTGTCTGCTTGCAATTGCTGTCCTCTTTCACCAGCAGCGCTAGTGCTAGATGTGCCAGATGAAACCCACTGGGAGGGGGGTTGGGGAAACTGTCCCAAAGTGCCATCCTATACAACAGATCAAGCCAACCATGATTCCAATGGCCAATGGATGACCGTCTCCTTGATGCTCAGGGTGGAGTGAGGGGAGGAAGTTCAGGTACTTACCCTGAATCTGGCTCTGAGGCTGAGGGTTAAAAGCAGTGGTGTGGTTCAAGGAAGCTCTTGGGTTAGGAGTGGGGGCTGGGTGGTGTGGGCTGACCCTTATGGCTGTGCGACGCAACTGCTCCAATTCGCTCAGACGCTCTGAAAAGGACAAACTCCCAGGCTTTGTCTGCTCGTCTAGTTTCTGACGGTGTCCTATTGCGGGGAAGGGGAAAGAAGATGAGAACAATATCTGACTGACACATAGCAGAATCTGTTGCTGTGTATGCACCCTATTACTATGGTCAGAAAGTCAACAGGATCTATATTGCAGGGTAGTCTAGCCAACGTCGAGGCCTTCAGATATTGTTGGATTCAAACTCCTATCGGCCCCAGCCAATATGGCCAATGGTCAGGGATGCTGGGAGTTGTAGTCCCACAACATCTGGAGGGTACATCATCAGCTACCCCTGAAATATTTACTACAAATATGAAGGGCTCAACTCAGCTAAAACCCGATTGGTTTCAATAGGATCTGAATATTTACGTGGATTGGAACTGAGATCTTCAACACACACCACAATGTTGTTTATGTACACGCAACTGCAGTTTGCTCATGTTCTACATAATTATTACACTGTCAGGGAATGCAGACCCAGAGAGCATGGAAAGATGCCATATGCCTGGTCAGATAACTCATCCAACTAGTCAATGCAGTCTTACTCATCACGTGCTCCCTGATATTTTTTTAAACCAGAGATGGCAAGGACTGAAACTGAGACCTTCTGTCTGCAGAGCAATGACTGAAGACTAATGAGTAAAGGCATCCTGTCTTGTCTTCCTAAGCTCAGAAAGATTATAGGACAGTTCAGCCCTCTGTTAACTTCCTTCATGGATCCTGAGGAACATCAGAGGGGCCAGAGGTTGCCTCTTGGTAGAAGCTGCTCTACGCCCATGGGAAATCCAACTTGGAGGTATGTACTTATTGTATGCGGTATGCGGGTGGCGCTGTGCGTTAAACCACAGAGCCTAGGGCTTGCCGATCAGAAGGTCGGCGGTTCGAATCTCTGCAACGGGGTGAGATCCCGTTGTTCGGTCCCTGCTCCTGCCAACCTAGCAGTTTGAAAGCATGAAGTGCAAGTAGATAAATAGGTACCACTCCGGCGGGAAGGTAAACAGCGTTTCCGTGCGCTGCTTTGGTTTGCCAGACGCAGCTTAGTCATGCTGGCCACATGACCTGGAAGCTGTATGCCGGCTCCCTCGGCCAGTAAAGCGAGATAAGCGCCTCAACCCCAGAGTCGTCCGCGACTGGACATAATGGTCAGGGGTCCCTTTACCTTTACCTTTACTTATTGCAATTAAAAAAAAAACCATATTTGTTGAACAACATTTCCACTTTCCTTATTGGTGAGTGATTCATCTCTGTACCAGTGCAGTCAGACAATATCCTAGCAGCACTCAGGAAAAAGAGGTGGTGCTGGAATGATGCACGCATACCGTCACACTTGGGATGGGGTGAACATATCAGCTGACATCAAGAGACTCACAAAAGGCAGGACATTAGCAAATCTTCTTCCCAAATATGGAATTCTTTCCCCCTTGCTCTATTTCTTTCAACCAATTCCTTTTTATTTTGTCTGAAAAGAGTGAAAACGGCTGCATCTCTGATGCTGCTAAGCCTTAAAAAAAAAAAAAAATCTACTCCACTCCTTTCCCTAAACTGCTTCTATTTACTTACTGCAATGAGTAAGTCTTCCTTTTGAAGGAATTCTTCTTTAGGAGATAGCCCCTGCAGTTTTAGTGATGGAAACTCTTACAGAAAGGAACCTCTCCAAACACATCACATAGACTGATGTGTGTGCTGTGGGCAACAAAATCCACAACAAAAGCCTCTTGAATCTCATTCTTTTGTTCCTTGGGGTATTAAATAAAATCTGAACACATAATTGCCATTTATTTTCACCTGAGGTGGGTCATCAAATGAATATCTAGTCCTGCCTGAAAAAGTCAAACGTGTCTCCTGCTCTACAGAACACTATTCCACACAGCCCTGAAAGCATTTTCATGAGGACACTGAACTTTTTTTTTTTAAGGAGAGTTCTAAGAGGAAAACACACACTTAAAAGTAGTGCCTAGTAGCTAAAATTAAATTTTATAACTTGTGCTGATGTTCCAAATCTGAGCAACTCGTCTCTTCTTCCTCCTGCCAGATCCTTTGGCACAGCTCACTGTGTCTCGGATTCCACACTGAGTTATAAATTATCACAGGAATGGAAAGGGGAGGGGAGCACAGGACTTGAGAAGTGATTGTATCTTTTACACCCACTCCACTCCACTTCCCTCCTGCTCTTGTTAAAAAGATAAAAAGAAAAATACTTTTATCTAATACTTTTTTATAGTTCAAATGCAAAAGCCTTTCTTTCATTTGTCAGTAATGCAAATTCAAACTTGGATTCAAGACCCTCGGCTCGAATGCAAACACTTGGAGTCGTGCAAGCTGTGTACATATGTAAAATGTCATCGACGTGGTGATTATTTTCAGCCTCGTGGCTTGAACGCCTTGAGGTCAGAATCTTGATTCCAGAGTAACGCCTGGCAGATCTAACAATACATATAAGATACAGTTGTCATTAGAAGTTCAGTTCAGAACTATTTATGCATCCAATTTAACACGTCTGTGAGATGCCTTCCTTTCATATTTTTGTCAGTTGTTATTCTGTGTGGTTTTCAGCATGACTGTGAGGACTGTTATTTTTCTGGCAAGATGTTTAATGATAATAATAAAAAATCTACTGAAATCTATTAGAATAATACATGTAATTAATTAAATGGTCAGTAGACGTGGTTGTTGTCTTTTTATAGCACCAATTGTTGCCAATTCTCTTCATGTTAGATTAGAACCACTTCATGCTACAGAAAAGCACTTGTTTGTGAATGTTGTGATCAATGAAGAGTCTAGGTCCTCTACACAGGATCACTCATGCTGGTTCTTTTGGGTTTTTTGCACATGAACAAGAGATTGGCTGCAGGTTATTAGCCTGCAAATGAAATAAAGAAATAAATCCACATGGTCATCCTCACATGTGACATCTGCACATCATTTTCATCACACATCATATTTCTGCATAGGATGTTGTATACACATGATGCAGTCCAGTAGATACTAATTTTCTTGCAGTTACCAGTGCTTCCAAGAGTTAAAGCAGTTCCCTTTTCGATAGCAATTAAGGGGTAAGATCTAACTTAGTGTGTGAAAAAAAAACCCATTCATTCATATGGATCTGCAAAATTATAACGAATGAAGTGGCTGTATGTATGTGAATAGTTAACACCTACAAAATGAAAGATATTAGCAACTACATTCCAAGTATTACTTAAGAGCCCAAACTTAGGAGCCCCAGTTTCAAACCATCACGAATCTATGAATCTGGGGGGCTGGTTTTTGCCCAGTGACACATTTTCAGCCTGACCTACAGCAAAGGATTGTCACAAGCTTAAACTAGGGTTGGGCCAGATGACCTTTGTGGTCCCTTCTAACTCTACAATTCTATGTTTCTACTGAATCTACGTACAAGGTTTTCCACATATGAAGCAATGAATCATTTTAATTAATTGATCCTCACAAAAACAGAATGTGAATTTAAAACTGAAACAAAGTGTCAGTGGGTTAAGTAATATTTCTCACGTCATCCTATATTTTATCAACATGCAATGCAATCCTGTACATGTTTCCTCAGAAATAATCCATACTGTTTAATGGAACTTACTCCCAAGCAAGTGTGTAATGGATCACAGCCTAAACAAAATGTTTCACATTAATGAAAGAAGCCTTAGGGTGGATGGGGCTGGAAATATATTCCTTGGTATTCTTTTTAATCCAAATGCACTATAATCTAGTGACTGCTGAGATGATGATGATCATGATGATGATAAGAATTTTTTTAGAATTTTAGTACAAAATGTCATATCTTGCTTTTTATGCAAACCTATGCCTTTACCATAAACTCCAAGATTATCAAATCAATATTTTCCACAGCTGCCTTTATTTTGCTGTCCCCAAGTCCAACAGGCAAATAAGCAGCATTTGAGGATTGCAGGCTTCTCCACTGAACAACAGGAGTCTTGACCCATGACAATGAACAGCATACATAGATGAGGGAGAAATATTGCACCATCATCCTTATTCTCAGCTCCTTTACTCATTCAGCATCACTTCTGGAAAAGCCTCCACATAACTAGGTGTGCAGAACTTTCAGAGGGGTAGACATGTCAGTCTAGTCCAGCAAAAACAAGAGTCTTATTTATAACACGCAATTGGGAATCCTTAAAAAGGCAGGTTCTCTAATGAGGCACAGGATACCAGGTGTCATGTGGAATGCACATGCCAACCCCTAAAACTGATCACTCTTATCAGGGTTTAGGTTTGATGAGGCCCTAAGCTACTGAAAGTAATGGGGCCCTTTATATGTCCAGCTGTCCTTTGTCAACAACAAATTGTCGCTGCTATTTGTGTTTAATATATGCTATATGGTAATTTATGGATCTAACAGGTATCTAAAGCCATTTGCACGTAACAAAATATGTATTTTATCAAAATAATTGTTGAACTGAAATACAATTAAGAAGTATATTAATAGTGAAATACAATTAGGAAGAAGTATATTAATAGTGAAATACAATTAGGAAGAAGTATATTAATAGTGAAATAATTATTAAGCTCAACCTGTATGTAGGTTTTATTTTATTTGTTTTTTATCTTATTTTTTTGGAAATGTACATCCAATTGTTTTTTTCATTTAAATTTTTTGGGGGACCCAAGTGAGTGGGGCCCTAAGCTATAGCTTGGTTAGCTTATACGTAAATCCGGCACTGATTGTTATGTGTGAAGAGTCCTGGAGGTGTACACCCAAGTTGTGGATACACACGTTTCTGTACACAGAAACGTGTAACTTCCTTGTTTAGAAAAAGTGGCTTACTTCATAAGTTCTTGTTTGGAGATAAGCCTGCCCACTGAAGTACCATATTGGCCTGAATATAAGCCGCACTTTCCCCACAAATTCCGACTGTGAAAAGTTAAAGTGCGGCTTAAATTTGTGACCTTACAAAAATTGGCTTTTACAGGACTTCTGGTGAGGCAAGATGGCGGGTGCCACGGCAGCACGTAGCTCCTAGGACCACCAGCACAACACAATTTTAAGGGAGCGGCTTATATTAGGGTACTGTATTTTTTTCTCTTACCCCCCCCATGAATTTTAAAGATAAGGCTTATTTGCTGGTGCGGCTTATATTTGGGCCAATACGGTAAAAGTAATGTAAAACAGGCACATAGGAATTCTTTTTAAAAGAACTTTTAAAGCGAAGACTAATGCCAGCCAGAATGTGAAGGGTTTAGGAAAAACCTTCCTTTATTTACATGTTCTATCTTCCAGCACTCACCAAAAACAAGTTTGTTTGAGGACATGCAAAAGCAAAGTAAGTGTGGAAGAAGCAGTCTGTTAAGAAAACACTTAAATGAGGAGAGCCAGATGTCTCAAGGGAAGGGTGCTGCTTTCCTTGCTCCTAATACATTAAACGTGTGCTTCAGAGTTTGCAAAGGGGACCATTACTGCCATAGAAAAAAATTAATCTGGCAAAAAGCATTGAGAATTTCTCCCCTCAGCTCTGATTGGCTGGTGATTCTGGAATGCCTTTTCAATCGCCTTTGGTGTGAAGCATGCTTGCTAGCATCACTTGAGGGGTTCTTTTCGTAATAAATGTTTTCTTTTTACCAGAGCATTAGAAAAAGCGTGCCTCATAGGAGCCAACCCCTATGGGCTGAAGTCTCTTTGTCCCCCCCCCCAATAAAATATTCAAGAGGCATTGCCATTCAAATAGTGCACAGCATCATGTGAATGATTATGCAGGGCGGGGCTTACCTAACTAAGTATATTTGGCATTTCTGAATCTCTCTTTCCACCTCTATCTTCTGAGACCAATGGGGACTGTTTAAGTCTCCTGGGCAGAATCTGTATTCATTTTGCCATATTGTGCCTAGTGCTGCATTGACATTAGAGATACTTGAAGATTTTGCTTGAACCCCATTTTTAAGCAAGCTGACCTGATTTACACTTCTCAGACTAATATGTGGAACAGAATACAGGTATCTTACAGTTTTTGCACTTCTCTGAATTTTGAGACAGATTTTAGATTTCAGCTTTAAAAACGTACCAAAATGCATACAAAAATGTTTATTTTAAATTTAAAGGTGTTCAAAGATAATGTTAAGATACTGCATAGAAAAATAATGCCTATCTTGGTACATTTTTTTGGGGGGGGACCCTGTAGATTAATGCAGAAACAGGATGAAATTGATTTATGAACACATGAAATTAAAAACCTGATTTGTCCATCCCTAGTGGGCACAAAGTAAATGTTAAACAGCAAATAGTAGCAATAGAATATTGACAACATTCATGAGCAAGAATTCCAAACAAGCATTTAACTTAGCTTTAAGAAAGTTTTAAAATCTTTACAGCCCTTCTCAATCTATGTGTACAGTTAGCAGCATTCTGCATGCAGAATGGCTTCTGTGTATACTGCTTGATTTTCTTCACAAACTGCTGGCAAACAGCTGCCCCACCTATGGAAGTCTGTCTTTACATGCAAAACAGAATCTCTGGATCATGGCCACTGAAGTCAGTCACTATAGTAAATTTGTAACGGGGTGTTCCCAGAAATATAATGAACCCATTTCATTTCCAAACTGTCTTTCGAGAGTTAAAAACAGCCACTAGTAACTAAAGCGACTCACTCTACCAATGAAAAGGCCCTCTATGCCATTGCTCATGCCCTGAGTCATCAAAACTTTGCTTAACAAATGGGGTGGTGGAAGGAAAAGTGGATTTTCCCTTGCTTGAATGTTTACTCTTACAACGTGAACCAAAATAACCCACTTGTGATAAAATGAGCAACTCCCCCTGCCTCTGAAATAAACATCTCTGCATGTCAAAACTGGAATGGCTTAGTATTCCCCCCCCTTTAACTTCCTTAACAGTCTCTCCATTGTACTAACAGTTTGTTACATACAAGTATTCTTGCAGTTCCCTGCACCCTCTCATGTCGTCCATGGTGCTGCATAGTCTTACGCATGCTATGCTGTTTGCTTCCTCCTTTTCCTCTGCAGCTTGCAAAGAGATATAGTAAGCTACTATATAGTGCTTTGCATGCAGAGTCTCTGAGAAGTTTCCAAACTGCACACAGGCAGATTATTCTTCCCCTTGTTTTCTTTGGCTTGATGCAAACAGCACAGAATGAGTCAAACAGTATTAACTTTCAACAGTGAAGTGGTGTGGTCAACCAAAACTGTCAGCGGCTCGATCGAAAAGATACAGCCAGCAGGTAACAAAAACCAGCCCAGAATGCCACATGCATGTATGTGTAGTAGTAGTAGCAGTAGTAGGTTCAAAAGCCATAACTTTTATATTTAGCTGGCATTACTAATTTTCATTTTGTCAACACATAAACATCTTACAATTTCTGACCCATTTGTCTTAGAGGCCTATGAGATTAGTCTTTTGGAAGATCCATGTCATACATCTGAAGAACACGCAATTGCACATTCAAAGCACATGACTCCCCCCCCCCCCAATTGAATTCTGGAAACCGTGTCGTGAACTGGCAGGATTACAGGAAGGATGAAGAGGATCCAATCGAGGGTGAATTTGGGACTGGGAGACACCGGGGCAAACTGGGGATGGAGAAGGAAGTACTCACAGGGTGATGGAGGATAGTGAGGGGATGGCAGTCAGTGTACAGGAAGCAGCAGAAGCCATCACCAGAGCCAGAAGGGCCCCTTTCTCCATAAACACGGCAGGCTCTGAGTCATAGGGAGCAGTGGAAGGGGTGCTCTAGGAGGCTGAGGCAGGCAAGGACTCACAGCTCCCTAAGTGGCCAAGTGGGGCTAGTTAGCTCTGGGAGGCGGTGTGTGATTCCTCAGCTGGAGTAGACTCTGAACAGGTGAGGGCCGCATACCTCGTCAAGCCCAGATGCTGTAATCAGCAGGCAAAGTATAAAAGGGAAGCAGAGCTGAGGGGCTGTGTCTGCTCAACTGCTCAGGTTGATGGACCTTGGCTTGAATGCCCCTGGACAACCATGGGACTGTGCTTTGGGGTTGACTTTGGACTGGGTTTCCTGATTACTGTTGACCTTGGACTGCATATTCTGGACTTTGCTGATGTGGATTGACCCTGGACCCTGATTCCTGACTGTTGAGTTTTGGACTTGACATACTGACTTGCCGCCAGGCAGGTCCGGGGCTCAGGATACCCCACCTCACAGCGCTACAATCCCTGACATCCTTAACAAATTACAGTTCCTAGTATTCTTTGGGGGAAGTCATGTACTTTAAATGTGTGGTGCAGATCTACCCCTTCCAAAGCTTATTTCAGAGTGCTGCTGCAGCTGCCCTGTAAAGCCCTAAGTGGCCTGACCACCTGCATTCCCGTGTTCCACCATGAAGGCAAAAGAAAGAGAAATGCAAATTGAGAGGCAAAAACTAACAATAAGGTGGCGAAAATAGGTCCCCTCTGGTAGCAATCCAAGTTGTGTAATCTTACACCTTCTCTTCCCCACCCCCACCTGCTACAACCCTTACCCATTTGCTACCACAAAGTTTCTTTGTCTGCAGTTCCTGTATTTGAGCCAGGCTGTTTACTCACTGGCTGCCAGTGAGGGAAGCACTGAGGACAGAGAAACACTCTTTCCATTCTGTGGTGCTACAGCTACCTACTCAAAATGGGAGGAGCAATTTCGGGAAAGGGCTTATGAATCTTCTTAATGCCGAGCACACACTGTAGGGGACATTATTCAAGGAGTTCAGATCTCAGTGCACAAAGGCTTGTTGCTTTATTTTACTGAGTCATGCCCTTTTGATAAGAAGGGTGTGTGTGTGTGTGTGTGTGTGTGTGTGTGTGTGTAAGTGGTTGAGAGAGGATCTCCTATTCTCCTTGCCCAATGAACAGTACTGTCAGTTCAGATCACTGTTGGTGGGGTCTTCACATAGTGGCACTTTGTACTAACACACACACACACACACACACACACACACACACACAGAGCATACAGAACTGATAATCAATTCAATACACATACCACCACCACAACCTGCAGATGCTGGGTACATAGTTCTTTCCCCACACCTCTCTTGGGCACCCTCAGTAGGACACACCTCTGAGTAGAAATTTGTTCATGGCTTGATTTCCATAAGGAAAAAATTAATGGGTCGTAGGTTTAGAATTGTAGTATTTAAAACAGGCTTCCTCAAACTCAGCTCTCCAGATGTTTTGAGACTACAATTCCCATCATCCCTGACCAGCTAGGGATCATGGGAGTTGTAGGCCAAAAACATCTGGAGGGCTGATTTTGAGGAAGCCTGGTTTAAAACAATGAGAACATGAGAGCCCTCCTGGAGCAAACCAAAGGCTTATTCTAGTTCAACATTCTGTTCCCACAGTGGCTAACTAGAAATCTATGGAAGCTTCACAAGCACTACATGAGATCAGAAGTTCTCTCCCACTCATGATCCTCAGCAAATCGTATTCTGAGATAATCTGCCTCTGATACTGGGCTAGCACTAGCAGCTATTGATAGCCTTATCCTCAAATGGCAGAGAAGCATTTAAAGAGACACTCAAAAGAGGGAAAATACATTATTTGTTCATTGAAAAATACAATAACTGAAATAGCCTTGGGGAAAGTAGCTAATTTAAGAATCCTTGTACGTCTACTACATTTCTTGATCTAGGTAATGATTTTCTTCAAAGAAGTGGCTCATAGAAAAGCAACTTTGGTTTGTGATTCATAAGCTCACCACCATGGAAAATAACCTTTAAGTCTTTTTGGCAAACGCTCCACCAGAATTTATTTAATGAATGCAAGTTTCAGATGCCTCTACAATGGAAAATAAAAGATATCATAAATTGAATGTTCGTTTTAGAAACCATAAAGTGAGATCTCTATCATTGCCATCCTTATTTTCTGTGTAGTTCTATATTTAGATGTGTTTCACTGAGGAAAGAAAATAGGCTGCTAATGGATAACTACTAGTGATTTCAAAATATTAGTAATCTCAGTGTCCCTTCAGTCTTTCTTCCCCAAATATTTTAAAGCTCAAGTGCTTCCTAAAAACTACGCAGTTGGGTGTTGTTGTTTTTTGGGGGGAGTAATATTTATTTCATAATATATACTTACTACATTTAATATCTTTTATATAAGACAGTGGGTAACTTTTTTGGTTCTGGGAGCCAGGTCTTTATCAATCCTCCATACTGCAGAACAATTTTGACAGTTGGGTGGGTGCAACCCTCCTGTCCATCACATGACAAGATGTCATATCCTTGTGTGAAAATCCACTTGGGAGTCAAAGTACAAAGTGTGTTTATTGCCAGCCCCATGCTTTGTAAGAACCCCCATGCTGCTTTTAAAAATATGAAATCTTATAGGTTGACATTCTTGGTAGCGCAAAGCTTGATTTGCCAAGAAGACAGCTAGCACGATGGGCCCAGAAGGGATATAATTTTACTGTGTTTCTTGGACCATCTCTCCTAATAAATCTATACCTGGCATATAATGTATAAGAGCTCCTAGAATATATAGGTAGAAACATGCCTATTCTCTCTCTCTCTCTCTCTCTCTCTCTCTCTCTCTCACACACACACACACACACACACAGTTGTAGCAGCAGCAGTAGTATTAACAGGATGGATCCATACTAAGTTAATCATGCTTCATTCCAATTCAAATCAATAGAGCAAGTTGTCACGATTTTAATGGAACTGAAGTGTGAATAACACTGTCTGGATCCAATCCAATAATTACAAGGTACTTGGAGGATGAAGAGCCACTCTTTGAGACACCCCTGCTCATTTGGAGACCCTCATTTTTAGACCCGTTATTAATTTCACTCCTATGGCATTCCTGTATTTTTTTAGGTAATGTCTTCAAGTGGTAGTACTAATGGATTTATCACAGAAGAAGGGGTGTGCACATGAAAGCTATCAGGAAGTGTGCAGGTGTTTGTTTTGTCGATGCTGTATAAGCACTGCTAGGCCTAATTCATCACTAGCTGAACCTAAGATCCAATGTTATGGATAGCCTTCTGTAAGCAGGATAGCTATTGCTGAGGAAACTCTAAGAGGTGGTCAGACTGGAGCAGACTAGCTCTGGAAAAAAGAAGGGATGCTGCTACACCTAACCCTCTTCCCTTCATCAAGGAGCTCACAACAGGTACCCAGTGATGCACAGGATGTGCCTGTAGCACAACCTGTGCAGATGACGGGTCACCCATCCCTTGCCCAGTAATTATACTGTTGCTGCAACTTGAGTTTGATGGGGGCAGGTGGGAGGTGTCTCCACAAGGGCATGCTCCAGGACTGGAAAGAAGATAGGAAATTGTTTCTAAAGGGTGGGGTAATATTACTCATTGGGGGACAGATATGTAGCTCAGTATTCGTAAGCCATTCATAATCATTCCATCCGCTTTGTCAAAAGACCAACTCAGTCAGGTATCTCCTGAACTGTGCCAGTTGGTCATTATAAAAGCTGTTTAAGAATTAGTACTTAAGTTTTATTTCCGCCCCCCTTCCTTCCCTGCCTCTTTTCGCGTGTGTGTGTGTGTGTGTCTCTCTCTCTCTCTGTGTGTGTGTGTGTGTGTGTGTGTGTTAAGATTGTAATCCTATGGACAGCGACTGTCTGGTTTTAATTGACTGTATGCAAGCAACTCTGGGAGGTTTTTTTGGCTGAAGAGCAGTGTACAAATGCTCTAAAGAAATATAAAAATAAGTGATATTGTAAGCATGAACCCATGACGCTACTGCAGTCACAAACACACGCATAAGTATCTAGCAGGGTTGCGGCAGGGTACTGCATGTTTAAGGCAGCTGAATATCATTGCATTTTGCTTGGAAAACACAGTGTTGCACTATGAGAATTAATTTTAAAAACATCCTCTAGATTACATATACAGTCGTGTAGTCCAAATGCATACAAACACTTAGATGGAAACTGCATGAAAAGAAAGAGGAATTAGTCTGAAGCTAGCAAGATGAACTAGTAAAAACGAAACTGATGAAGAACATTATATATCAAGTCTTCACAGGTCTGTTAAAGTTGGTGCCAGTGCTCTATCAGTATTAGTGATTGCTACGATTTCACACAAAGGTGTTTTTTTTTAAATGTACAGAATTGATTTGGAACTCAATCCTAACTTGCAATGTTCTCCCTCCCACGGGCGCTTGTTTCTATGTTCTTCCCGTTTTGACTTCTGCTACAGCCACACTGCCTCTGCCAAATGTGTATGCGTGCGTGTGGTGGGGTGGGGAATAAGAAGAAACCACAAACCTCAGCATACAAGAGGATATTTCAATACAAATATGAGTATTCTACAGTAAAGTTAATTATTGCCTTGGGCAATGAGAAGGGAACATATTGCATTAGTTCAGCAACGAGGTGGCTTTGGGGTGGGGAATTTCCCCTCCTGCACACACTGTGCTCATGTGAGTATTTTGAATTTATCCCTGGAGATACCATATATTGTTTGCTCATTCTTAATTGTTAAAAATGAAAAAAAATAAATGGCAGTCACTTGACTGAAGATCTGCGCCTCAGCGGAATAAATTCCATCTGCCTGCTTGAAGTGTTGCCTTCAAGAATTACTGTTTTCTTAAGCTGCAAACCGGCATGAGATACAATAAGCTGCACACAAGAGCAACTGGTTGCCGTTTTTCTGCCTCCCCCACCCCTTTCACCTCTGTTCCATCTGCTAGCTTTGAGGGGAAACGGGGGGGGGGGGGGAGTCTGAACAGGGCTATTTTGTTTCTAAAATTAAAATTCCTAAATTCCAAAGTGAGCAAGAAATGCTGAAGAATATGCATGGTGTGTTTGAAATCCCACATCCTTTGTCAATTTCTACATCTACTATCCCTGTTCATTCTCTTCAAAAAGGCATTTCAACTGTCTCTTTCCAAATCAATAGCCGTGCAAAACAGATCCCTAGGGGAGCCCCCCTCCCCCGCAGTGCAAGTCTGGTTTAAAACAGTGTAACTTCCTAGCTAACTGATTTCCCCAAACCATATAGCTAGAGATCTAAAATGCAGCCAGTCAGATTGAACAGTACAGTTTTTACACATGTTCACTTGGAAATAAGACCCCATTGAGTTCCATCTCCCAAAGAACTGCATCTAGCAGGGGCAGGGAACTTTTTCCAGCCTGAGGGGCACATTTCCTTTGGGGAATCTTCTGGAGGTCACATGCCAGGGAGGGAAGACAGGGCCAGAGGCAAAAGTGGGCCGGGCAACAAATGAAAATTTTGCTTTTGTACAGTTGGCTGCACCTCCAGGAAACAAAAGGCATTTTCAGTGTTGGAAGGCACATTCTAGCCAGGCAGAAACACTCAAGGGGAGTGTGAAGCAAGGCCAGTGAAAGCCAGTGAAGCAAGGCCAGTGAATGGCCTGGGGAGAGGAGCTCGGGCTTGAAGGACTGCCGTTGGCCCAAGGCCCCCACCCAGGTACACAGGATTACAGCCTGAGTAAATTTAATTGTAAGATTAGATTCAAAGTTTATTAAATAGAATGGTGTGCGTGTTCATTCTATTTCTGTGTCTTTAGGTTAGGACTTCATGTTATCTGAATACTTACTTCTTGGTTCTCGAGGCCCATCCACTGTGATCTTGATGGCTCTGTGGTACGTAGCTACTTGTGGAGGATTTGTGAAGACTGTGATGGTCAATGTGAAGCTCTTCCCTGAAACAGAAAAGGACATTTACTTTTACACCTGATTCATATTAGTCACCCTTGAGCTATAAAAACATTGAAAACTATTTGATGTATCAGTGAACATATTCTATTTAACTTAACTGACACGAAAGCTGGAAAGAACATTCAGATCAGCAGGTGGAGGTAGGACCGATTGATTTGTTAAAAATAAATAAATAAAATACAGTAAATAATGCATTTCATTAAAAAGTTTCAGCAAGTTCAAAAATAAAATAAAATGCTATCGGACAGCAGATGCCTCAGTTTCTTACACCAAATCTGTTTTGTGCTTTTTTGTGGTTTACTCCAGAAAGTCAGTTTCCTATGAATTTGCAATGTTGAAAGAAAATGTTCCATTAAAAAAAAACTAGATAGAAAGTTTCATTTAAAATAATACAGGGTGGAATCCAATCGTTGCCCTTGTGCTTATGGTAAGAAGGCCTTTTGATCCAGCAAATACCTCCATTAAGAAGAAAGCAGGGGAGGTAATGTTTGCCAGCTTGCACTTCCCCACACTCTCTTCCACCCTGTTCCATGCAGACAATTTTCTAGGATTTTGGGTGCTGCGGGATCAAAAGCTCTTCCATGACAACCAGGACAGCAGTGGGATTCCATCCACAGAAAAGTGATCTGTGGTTACGATTTGTGGTTACAATATGGCAGAGCAAACCAAGGAAGACCCGATTTCATGTTTACAGAAGACTACCTTTTAACCACAAACTAAATAAACCACAAGACCACAAAGGCACACACCTATATGTGTCACTTGTTGCTTACTGATAATTCTATTTGATGGACTTTTTTAATTCACTGCTTATATACTACCACATTGTTAGCTGGTGTGTAGATTTGATGACAGCTATTCACACATTGCGTTTGAGTGGAGTCCTAGCACAGTATGCACTGAATCCAGATATAGTCATGTGAAGAGTTGAACTCAATGGAGGTCTGTCATGCCTAACTCAAGTCTCAATCATTTCAATGGCTCTACCCTATGAAGCAGGACGTGGGTGGCGCTGTGGGTTAAACCACAGAGCCTAGGACTTGCCGATCAGAAGGTCGGCGGTTCAAATCCCCGAAGCTCCCGTTGCTCGGTCCCTGCTCCTGCCAACCTAGCAGTTCAAAAGCACGTCAAAGTGCAAGCCGCCAGAAGTGGCTTAGTCATGCTGGCCACATGACCACCAGCTCCCTTGGACAATAAAGCGAGATGAGCGCCGCAACCCCAGAGTCGGCCACGACTGGACCTAATGGTCAGGGGCCCCTTTACCCTTTACCTTTACCCTATGAAGCAGAAGTAGCAGTAGTAATAACTCCTTCAAGCCTAAAATTCAGATGGGAGTCTCTGGAGTCAGTGGAAGGCTGGAAAGTATCTAAGATCAACCTCTGCTCCATCAGTTGAGGAATGGGGTGGTGAGGGAAGGAAAGTATCTCCACTGCTGTTGAAATAGTGGGAATAGTTTGCTCTTTGTTCATTTCGATTTTTAAGAGATAAAGACCTAATTTAAGACCAATTTACTAAAAACTTCCTTTGGCTTGATGCCTGGGGCAAACTGAATAAGGTTCTATGTTAGTATATTTAATCCTGTACCTGGCAAGTCTGGCAGGTCTATTCTCATTGTCTCACTGCATAAGTTACCATTTATGTAACATTTGTAAAGCCAAAGGCCACAACCCAGGCTACAGCAGCATACCCAGAATTTCCATCAAAATGATAAGTGCACACTGCACTGTGAACAAAAGTGCTTTATGAGATTTAGCTCATTTCTCCTTGTGGCAATAATGCGACATAAGTCTGCAATGTCATTTCCCTTTTACAAATGGTAGCAAGTAGTAGTCACCTTTGTGCTTATGAAAAACAATTCACTGTGGCAAATTGCAGCTGGGGGTGGGGCGGGGCTGATGAGGTCTGCATTCCCTCAGGTCAAATTTGTCAAGGGGGCACATGCCAGCAATAGCTGAAATATTCTGGATTAACTAATTCTGGATAAAGACCATCCCGCTTCGGTCTTCAACATGGCTACCTCAGGTTAGAACTCCCAGTCCCTATGGAGGTCTCGTGCATCTAGCAACCCCATACGGCTTGATGAGATCTCTCTCTCTCTCTCTCTCTCTCTCTCTCTCTAACCAGAATACCTACTGAAAGTAAGCAAGTGAAAGTAATTTATTGGAGCAGGAGCCTACCAATTTGTTATTGAACACCTTGTGAAGGGAGGGAGAGTTATTTTCCTCAAATCATAGAAGTGGGGTATTTACATTTATTTATTTATTTATTTATTTATTTATTTTAAAAAAATTTAATTAAATAAAATGCCACCTGTTCCGGGAGTGGGGAAGTGAACACTTTTAAAAGCCATGAGAAATATGGAAGGAACAAACAGAATGGAAGGAAGTTTGAGGGGCTGGAAGAGTGAAGCAGCTTCAGGAGGCATCAGGGGAGGCCGAGGGTGGCCTCTGGGCCAACAGGCTACCCACCTGTGAATTACAGTGTGTACATTTATTTCATATATTTATAGACTGCTTATTACCAAAACATATAAGTGGTATACAAATGCTAGATAGATAGATAGATAGATAGAGTGTGTGTGTGTGCGCGCGCGCATGCACGTGCGGACATGTGTGCGCGTGTGCTTTGGTAGCAGGCTTAGCCATTTTCTCAACAAGGTTTCTTCAGCTGCCCACACATCATACATTTAACTACATGGATTCCCCTGAAAAATTCTGTGACATATACTTTACCCTCACGGAGCTGCAGTTCCAAGCACCCTCTTAACCAACTACAGTTCCCAGGAATTGAGTGCTTTAAAATAGAGATTATGCCAAACTGGCACCCTTGCACAAAATACTGTGCGAAACAGAAAAGGGACAGGGGAGCATTAGACCTCACACAGAGCTGTGAAGTGAATGAACATTAATGTAAACAATCAGAATAGCTTCCTGGAGTGAGGCATTTGCAACATTTCTGTTACAAAATGTAGCCAGATGTCTGTTCCCCTTCTGAGAGCCAGATTATATGTGATGTTTGTCCTGATATGCTTGATTTTTAAATCAAGGAAGCAGCTTTAACTTTCTGCACCCATTACAGTTGTGATCAGAATTGCCTGTCTGTGGCTGCAATTTTTAAAATCTCCCAATGGCACCAATCAAAGCTTTCCTCCTATTGTGAATTTAAGGATGGAGGATTCTGATCTACCACATACACTGCCTATTAAAAAAAAACCCCAGACATGCCACAGATTTCCTGAAATTCAGATATGCTGCATGATGGTATTATTTGTCAAATGTTTATTAATTTCACTAATCCACATTTAAGGAATGTGCAGCAGTCCTAATCCATGGATGTTTACTCAGAAGGAAGTGCCACCATTCAATGTACAGTAGCTTATCCCCAAGTAAGCATGCAGGTAGAAATCAGTTGTATGTTTTAATGATCACTCAGGAATCTTCCCTGCTTCTAGCAATGCACATTGCCACTGTTACACGTCTACCAATTTAAATGTTGCAACATCATCTCCAGCTGGTGCAGGAAAGACATTCTCTCACTTGACCACATCAGATGCTAGCCCACACTGTCCTGTGTCTAGACTATGATGCAACCTAATCATGACATTGTTGGTGGCAGTTTGAGTATGTAAACTCCCTGTGCTGGAACCTGTTTCATCTGCAATGTGGAATCATGCTGGAATGTGTCTCCTTGACTTATTCACTGGATGTTGCCATTACTTACTCAGTTTAACCTGAGTCTGAGATGAGTGCAGACCTCCGGGCCTCCAGGTTAATTTCTGGAGCAAGGAGGAATGACTCTTTGCAAACTCCCTTGGTTACCCCACTGAACAGAGACTAATCCATTCACCCTCTTCCTGAAATTTGCATTCTGAGCACTGGCAATCTGGAATGCAGGTGGGACAAATCCTTGAGCTACATAAAAACATAGAATCATGCAATTATAGAGTTGGAAGGAATCCCATCCAAATATTTTTGTTTTGTTTTTAAATTTATTTACTTAGATGTGTGTTGAGTCCCACAAAAGTCTCAAAGCAACTAATTGCAATAAAGCAAAAAGAAGAATGATACATTAAAAAAATAATCAATTTTGGAAGCAATGCATTAAAAATTATTTATTCTTCCATTTATATTCTACCTTTTCTCCCATGAGCTAAAAGGGGTGTACATTGTTTTCCACCTCCCCGTGTTATCCTCACAACAGCCCTGCAAAGCAGGCTACACGGAGAAGCTGTGGCTGGTCCAGTGAACTCGCCACAGCTGAGTGGGGAATGGTACCCTGACCTCCCTGGACCCAGGTCCTAGTCCAGTATGCCAGCCACTACATCAGGCAAAAACTCACTATACCAAAAACACTAGACGCTTCATTCAACCACAAGATGAACCAGGACCCCAAATACCTGGGAGAATAAAAATACCAGTGATTGTGCCATTGATTAAAGAACCATTAGAAGGGAGCAATAACTGCTCATCAACAGGACAGCAGGCTAAGCAGACACAGAGGTCGCCTAGTAATTATTTCAATATTCATAGATAAAGATAAAAATAAAGTGCATACAAATTTTATGCAAACCTGTGTCCTCTGTGGTCTTTTTTTTTGGGGGGTGGGGGAAATGCATTTTCTCTCTTTATGTAATGAGCAAGCAGCAACTTTGCATCTCCTTCCTCCACTCTCTTCTCTGATGCTAAGTATAATGAATGAAATGGAGTAGGGGCTTCTGCTCCCTGCCTCCGTTTCACTGGTTTGTGCTGGTGGGCAGAAGGAAACTCAGTTTATGGTGATGATGTCACACCATGCTTTTGTATTAACAGATGTTGCCAGCCAGGAACAAGAGAGAGGAGGAAGATAATCGGGGTTGGTGTTTTGAGTATCCTCGGTAATATCTCATTCTGGCCCAAGTTTTCCCCATTACATTAAGGAAAGATAAGAGATATCTGGAAGCAGATCAGGAGAGAGAGAAAATTCCTTTAACTTGGTGTTTCAGCCTTCACTGTGACTGCCAACTTATTAATGATATGAAAGAACAGCTACTTGGAAAAAGAATGGGGAAGTGTACTACAATATAACATTCCATCCTTTGGTAAACTGTAGAGAGGAACACCCACAAGGTTGCAGAATTTATAGACCAGCAGGGAGAGGGAGAAGAAAAACAGGCAATCCACTTCCCTTCATATTCGTTATCCTCGTTTTCTCCGACCCCTTTGCAATACAAGTCTTTAGATACACTTTTCAAACTTTGAATCCAGTGTTCAAATAGTACGTTGCTGGTTTTTACCGACACCAAAACACTCTGCCTTAATGCACACAGGGCCAAACCCTTGCCCTCTTTTGTCAGGCCTTTATGAAGGCTCCATTGTCTGGTAAAATTATGAATGATCTGTGCCTCATCTGACTCAGTCTCTGCAATCATCATTAGTTAGTCTGCAACTTTGCTGCAGGCTCCCATCCTTCCATGTACTTTTTGTTCCCTGCAGCATTACATATTTGCAGTCTGTACTTCCACATTTCTCTAGCCATACACCCACCAGTTCTCCAGCTATGAAGTAAAAGTCTTTGCTGATTGTGTAATTCCTCTGTTTTGCATGCTCAGTTTTATAGCTCCTTAAGACATCTGTCTTATCTATATTAATCCTCTGTATTGGAAAATGATTTTTTTTAAAAAAGCAAGACTGGATAATTTAGGTAGACTGTTGCTTCAAGAATGAAATGTCTAGACTAGAGATGGGAAACCTATGACCCTTCAAGTGTTCCCTGGCTCTAACTCCCATCAAGCCCTAGCCAACTTGGCCAACGGCCAGGAATGATGGGAGTTGTAGTCCAGCAACATATGGAGGGCCACAGGTTCTCCACCTTTGCTCTACATAGTTGAAATAATTAGAGTATCACTACAAAATAGTTCCCCAAATTTAATTTTGAATGTTTTTTTAAAAAAATTGGAAGAAGAAATGGCAAGACTAATTCTTGCTTATGTGTGTAATTTTGTTGGAAACATGAAAACCCTTCCATGTGCCTGAAATGACCGCTCCCCGCTTAAAACGGGGGGCGCCCTTTGCGTGGACGCGCGCAGCCCTAGATCTGGAGCGGACCCATCAGCATAGGCTTGGCTTTGCCTTCCCTCAGGTGGGATACCTGGAGGTCTCCGCCTACCTCAGTCAGTTGTCCAATCCCACCTGGGGGAAGCGTTACCAAGGAGACCAGGCCAGGTAGGGGAGGGATTACCTGCCCACACAACAGAGGGAGGATCTTCCCTGGGAATCCTCACTTGGCTCCAGAGCTTCTCCCACCCTACCCACCCTCAGTTAATGTCTTCTTTTGCAGGTTAACTTTTCTTCATAGGTTTTGCAGGTTAACTTATCTTCACAGGTATGCGGGCGCTGCTACGTTAAGGTCTCTGTTAAAGGGCCGGAAAGGAATTCCCCTGCATTGGCAGGTTTCGCCTTTCCCGTAGCAAAACGTCACAACTTTGGCGGGATCAGGCCTTGGGCGGAATCCTTTAGTCCATCTTCCTCTTTGCGGCAGCGATACCAGGGTTCCCCGTTAAAGGGGTTTCTGAAGGGAGGCTTTGACCATATGCCAAAAGGTTGTCATTGCTCTCCCCTGCGGCGGCGGCGTAACGGGGGCGGCTATCTCTGCTTGAACATATGTTCTCCAGAGCCGGCCCATCCCCCCCACACACACTGGATAACCCTGAAGCTCCCTAGGTCCCTGGCTGGGGACTGGGGAGGGAGAACGCCCAATGCCTGAGCCAAGGTCTACCCACATTTGAAATTTAATAAAGTTGTGGCCAATTTAATCCCATAGCACGTTGTCTTGAGTCGTTATTCCACATGACGGGGGGGACCGCTTGGGATCTGGGGACTCCGCCTGTCCACGCAAATCTATCATATCTACAATATTAAAGAGTTTGCGTGTTTCTTTCATATTGTGGTTATCACAATAGCCCTTACCTCATTTAGTGTGACCTATTTAAATCATTGTTAGGTAATAATCTGAGGAAGTATGCAATTATCTATGCTAAAAATTGATGACAGTTTTGTCTGCTTTGCAGTTATTCTGTGACCAGTGTGGAATGTGCACTCAGTCTATAGACCCAGGATATGACTTTTTGATGATTAAAGTGCATGTTTTAAATTTAAAAAAACACAGATTTTTCATCTGGTTACTTTCTCATTAGTGTGTGTTTCGGGTACAGTTTCGTTTCTGTACCAGGGTTGTTTCACTTCTCAGAATCACCATACCAGATGGGTGATACTATCCTCCTTGATCACTGCTCCAAAAGACCCTAAAGCTGCTTTCTCTCTCTCTCTCTCTCTCTTGCCAGTCATTCACAGAATGTAGGCAGCAGCAACTTCTATAGGGAAGCTTCCCTGATCATTTAAGGAACTTGGTAAGTCATGAACTTTTAAAATACTGTTGTGTCAACATATATGTAGTTCTTTATTTCATGCTATTCATGGATAAAAAATAAATAGGTAGCACAGTAAAAACACAGCTTGGTACAACAGAAGATGTAAGATCTGTGTGCACTGTAAATTTAAAGCGACCTTCAAGATCAACACCTTCCCATTCTTTTACTGAAGTCTTATTCACCTGACCATACTTCCTCACAATTATTGTGAATGCCACTCATCCCCAGAGACTCAGATCCTGAAAATACAGGGGGGCAAAGTCTGGGAACTAGAGTAGTGCCTGGCAGAGCAGGGGACCTGGTGGAACAGGTGTTTAGGTGAGTGATGTTGTAGGAAGGGGAACAGAAGCCGGAAACTGGCTCAGGAAGATCTTGACTGTGCTTGGGTACCTCCTGATGGAGCTTTATGGAAAAGGGGTGGCTGAGCAGAGCAAAAGTCAAACAGGGGCAGGGCAGTGGCAAGGGGAAGCTGATCTACTTGATACTCTCACCCAACATGGAAATGTACTTATTCCCCTGGAGGCCCTAAAAGCCTGAAACTTCAGGCCAAAACCTAGGGCAATCTCAACTCCTGCTTTCAAGAGTAGGACAGGTCCTGCAAAGTAGGATGGTGAGTCTTCCTAGATTTGCATGCTAGAAACGCGTCAGGAAGCGCAGTGCAAGTGAGACTCTGCTTCTTGGTTGCAACTGAAAGGACTATGTGGGGTTTTCCACATCATGATTTTCCACATCATGATAAACTGCAGCCCTCTTTTCTTTGCAGGATTTCTGCTTTCCACAGAGAAGAATATTATGAGCATGTCTCCATTCCTTCCTAACTCTGGCCCTTAGAGGAAAAGAAGCCTTCCATCATTGAATGTCTTCTCAGCTTTGCTTACATTAAAGGAAGCTCAGTGTAGCTGTGGGGTTTTTTTTTAAGAGCTTCTGCTTGTTCTCTTGTACATCCACAATTAATATGACCAAGGTCTGTAGTCCAGAATCATGGTGGAGAGGTGGAATTCATACAGGCTGCATTGAAGCATTAACTGTCACTCTCGTAGATGGCACCACTGCTTACAATGCAATACTAAACATGCTAAGATATAAGGCTACTTTTACCTAACTTTAGATATCTAGGGTTGATGAAAGGCATAAATGTAAGTAAGTAAGTAAATAAATAAATAAATAAATGGACCTTTCACCTGCAGAGACCCCTGTGTGCTGTGCAAAGGCATGTGTATGGCAAATATGAGAGAGGGTTAAGAAGGATGGTCAAAACCAGAAGGGGGGAGGGAAGACTGCCAACTTTAATAAACAACATCCCATATAAAACAATTATTTTAGGAATAGCGTCTTTGGCTAAAAGCCTCATGCTTTTAAGGATTAGTTGATGCTTTTAAATAAAACCAGCTCTTAATGGAGAAGCAGAGCAGTCTCTGACTACAAGTGGAGCTGCTTCTATAAGACAGTGATAATAAAATTCTTATAAGCATGGGTGGAGACACTAATTACAGCACAGGAGGAATGTAATGCTGTTGGGTGCCCTACTGCACCTCAAGAGCACAATAGCCATACAAAAGGATTATGCAGCTTTATTGTTACTGTGCAATGCCTACTGTGAAAATATTATTGAAGGGTGGAAGGCATGAGGATGATTCAGACATATTTGCATGATATTAATGTCTGACAAGAAGATGGAAAGATTAACTTACAGAGGAGTTACTATTTCCATGCAGAGAGTGCTAGTACCAGTTTAACTTCCTTATTTCCAGCCAAACCCTGGATTTTGCATCAAGAGGCCTGTTCGCTCCTCCAGAACTTAAAGTGATCTTCAAGTCTCCAGCCATTTATACTGTGTTTATCCTTTCAGACGAGAACTAGCTAGACAGTGAATAGTTTTCATTCGAAATATATTCTCCAGAAAGTGAACTTTGAATACCCGTTTTCTTTGTTTTGAAGCATCTATGAAGAAGAAGATACTCTGAGAAGATGTATCTTTTTTAACTGCAAAAGGTCCATTTTTTAAAAGTGGATCTGTTGTGCTAGGGTGATGGTAAGAGAGGAGGATTTAGGAGAATGTGACTGGTTTGGCCCACTGGGCACAGAGCCTGGGGGGCACAATTATTTAGAATGGAGTGTGAGAGGCTGGGGGTGCTGAATTTTGGCACTGCACCCTGCTGAAATTTGAGACCCCAAAGTTTGCCACTGATGGTGATAAATCTCCTTTAATTGTACAAACCTAAATGTGTGTGTTGCAGGCCCTTTCTGCCTCTGAACCTTTGGAATCTTGTGGCCTGCTCTGACTGTGGATTCCATGGCCAGCTGCTGAGACTGGCTCTCAAACGCTGTCACACAACAAGGTTGGAGGCACTTATCACTATGGGTTTCATAGTCACGGAGCAAACGATGAAGACAATACATAAAAACCCAAAGAAAAATATAGCTTTGTTTCACATTACAAGTCTGAAATAATTCTCCTGCTTGAACATAACATTCTCAAACACAATTTTATTTTCCTTAAAATGAGCAAAATGTTAATGATACCTTGAGATATATTTTTTTTAAAGTACTTCATCAGCAGATAGTTGCTGTTGCTGAATTACATGGTTCTCCTTCTCTTCCTTAAAACAAAAAACTGTTCAACTGATCACAAATGAACCCAAGTCTTCGCAAAGAAGTACAAGATGCTGAACTAAAAGGTTGCATGTTATCCTACCCTATCAAAATACTAATTCTTCCTTTTAAAAAATCATAATGGCCCTATTTTTAACTGCAGGTCAGCATTTGTTTTCCCCAGGCAGATTGGTGCTAAAAGATGACCTCACCAAAATGTGGATCAAAACTCAAATCAAAAGGAGCTGGCAGCCAGCATCGCTCAAGCTGAATATGTCAGCTACTGAGTCAGTGAGGTAAGCTGGGCTGCCATAAACAGAGCCTGCTAAGCTGAGCTACGCTTCTGTGATAACGTAAAATACAAAAACAGCTGCAAGATAGTGCACCGACTCATCCTCAGAAGCCTCAGTGAAAACAAAATGTGCAAGCACCGCTCAGCACAACCAAAAACAAGGAGATTTATTGTTATTAGAATTAGGGCAGTGGCTCAACATTTGGCGCAATATTTGTTTACCACTCTCATATGCCCAGAGACAGGAAGCTCCAAAGAAGAAAAAATAACTTTCCCAAAACCACTACATGATTAAGATTCGCACATTTGCAGCCAGCAGTTCTGAAGACTAAGGTCACAAAATGTGCCTTATTAAGAGAATTCATGTGGTAGGAACACTGAAATAAATCTTGAGCATGATTTGTAGCTATAACCCTTTTATTTACATTTTAGAGAAAAATGGTTGCATGCACCCACAATAGCTCTGATATACTGGACTGTCAAAGGAAAAAATAATTATATAGATGCTGACACTTGAATGCTGTACAGCCTTTTAAATAATATCATACAATCACATACACAAAAATTTAAAAAAAATACCTGTTTAAAGAGGTTCTAATGCAATCAAAGTAAGGAGTTACGGTCAGAGACACTGCTTATTTTATTGCATTTGAGACATACACAGATCATTTTTGTAAAATGCCATAAAGAAATCTAATCCTCTCCCATTATTTTTCTCCTTGCTGATGCTTTTTAGTTGAAGGTTCATCTTTGTGGATCAAATTTAAATAACAGAATGCTTGTGAGCTGGCAAGAGGCACACAAACCACATCATGTTTTCAATTCAAATATTCTAATTGGAATGTATCATATAGCCCCTTAGACAATCGGCAATTCATAGCAAAAAATGTTGGCATTACATTCAAGTTGTCTTTCTATGCCAGCTATGTTTGTACTGTTTTATAAATATATCTTCCCCCACAGTCTAAGAATCTACAAGAGTTAGCACAGAGAAAAAGACCATCCTCTAGTCTGACTGTGCCATTAATTGTTTTTTAACCTGGTCATTCTCCAAGGCTGCAATCCTCTACTACCCACGTACGTGGCAGCAAGTGCCATTGAGCCCAGTGGATTTACTTCCCAATAGACACGTACAGGAGTATGCTGTCACGGTAGGTGACTGAACTGAACAACAGGGTGGCAAGTTAGAAGAAGCGGCAACAAACATAATTTTGAGCTCTTTATTGTGTCTCAAATCTTATGCAGTTACTAAAGGCAAAGGAGCCGTGCCAGAAAACAGATGGTTAGTCTCATTGCTTTTAGATGTTCAGTGTCTCCTGGTGCTGGCTGCTCGTCTGCCAATGTTTTGCCTCCCATTTTACCCTTTAAAGGCACTCACAAATCTGACCAGCTTTTCTTTTACTTTGCAGCAAAGAGTGGTTGCCGATACACCTAGACAAGTTTTATCATACTTTCCTGTTTCTAGATTTGCAAATGAAAATGATTTGAGAATCAAAGTAATACTGTGATGAGCTGGTTACCTGAGGCATCCCAAAAGGAATTACCGGTACTACCACAAATTAGCAGACAATCTGAATGCAACACTAGAGAGTTAATTCAAGTTGCCCATTGTCATCTTGGTCCAAACTGCTTAGTATTTAAGACCACCTTAGATACATTAATCCCCAAAAGCTCATGCCATGATAAAAACTGGTTAGCAACTCAGGATGTTTAGTTCATTTTGCTGCAAGAGACTAACATAGCTAGTCTCCGGAAATAGATAAGGGAAAGTTCAGGTGCAATTGCTTCCCTTCAGTGACAATAAAATTACAGCATTGGGTTTTCCTTTGTTTTTTTGTTTTGAATCCTTTTGAAATATTGCAGACTTTTGGCTACTGCTGAAAACCTTCTCCTTCACTCGGGCTTCTCTAGCTTAGCACTGTTGTTAATTTGTCCACAACCAGCATTTTGACTATGTCTGAAATCTGTTTTGTTGTGCTTTTATGGCTTTTCTATTGTTTGTATTATTTATTTATTATATTTAGAAATCACTCATCCTTCAAAGGATCTCAGAGCAATATATATATATATATATAAGCACGGTAAAAGACAACAACAGTGAAACGATATATTAACTAATTTAAAAAAGCACTGATTCACATACTGCTGCTAGTAAATCCCTCATTATAAAACTGTAGAAGTCTGGATAAATAAAAATGTCTTCAGTTGACATATGAAGACCAATAATGAGGGTGAATAAATGTACTTCTAGGGAGATCATTCCAGATTTCAAGGTCTCACTATGGAGAAGGTCTTTTTCTATAGGTCTTCCTGCTCTGCTGAATCCTGAAGGGGTTGCATTGTTTTTATCCTCCACCCCCAGCTTGGGTATTTTGATGTTTAGTGGTACAAAGGTTTTGCAAAATGAATAAATCAACATTTGTGGAACTCCCTCCCTTCAAAATCTCAAGAAAAGCAAAGGCCAGTTAGCTGTAAAAATGCAACTCTAGGTGATTTCTAATGGTAAATGTAAAGGACCCCTGAATGGTTAAGTCCAGTCAAAGGTGACTATGGGGTTGCGGCACGCATCTCACGTTTCAGGCCGAGAAAACCAGTGTTTGTCCACAGACAGCTTTCCAGGTCATGTGGCCAGCATGAATAAATCACTACTGAGGCATGGAGGACCATGACAAGTGTCAGAGCACATGGAAACACTGTTTACCATCGCAGCAGTACGTATTTATCTGCTTGCACTGGTATGCTTTCAAACTGCTAGGTGGGCAGAAGCTGGAACAGAGCAACGGGAGGTCACTCCATCGCACGGATTCTAACTGCCAACCTTCTGATCAGCAAGCCCAAGACACTTAGTGGTTTAGACCACAGTGCCACCTGCATCCCTTTATCTTAAGATGAGTTACCTTGAAGTGAAAAAATTCCACATCCCCCCTGGCCCTGAAGCCCCATAAAAGCATTCCACTCTGCAAAATGTGAGAAGGGAAGGGGAAATCATCCTAAACTTGAGACAGGGCATGTTTTTGGAACATTTTAAGATGTTTATTGGTCTCTCAGGTCCTAGTCTGTTACTCTAACCACTACACTATACTGACTCACTTATTTTAAAAGGCTCTGAGATGGGATATAAAATAAAACACAAGAACGGGCCTTCTCTGCAGTGGCTTCCCATCTGTGGAATACTCTCCCCAGGGAAGTTTGTCTGGCCTTCATTATACACCTTTAGGCACCAGGCAAAAATGTTCCTTTTCAACCAGGCATTTGCCTGACTTGATCTACGTCCTAGACCCTGTTTAAAAATGCTGGCTCTTTTGGGGTTGCTGGCTTTGTTTTGATTTTATGTATTTTATATTTTATGTGAACCGCCCTGAGACCTTCGGGTATAGGGCGGTATAGAAATTAAATAAATAACAATAACAATAATAAACATCACTAGCTGCTTTCATAGTTTGCTAATGTATCCCAGTGCTGCAGCCTTTTATTATGGTTGTCTTTTGAATTAATTTTTTTTCTTGAGGGATTTTAAAATCAGATGTGTTTTCATTGTCCTATGAAAGTGCTAATGATTTTTGTGACCATTAAAACTCACTCTGTTAATGTTTCCATGTTTACAAAGTCAATTTATGCCCATATAAATAAACAGATATTTTAAAAATTATTTTTAAAATTTAGCTTAAATTGGGAAATGGAACGTAGCACGTCCCTTCTTTTTAAGTCCTATTCACCCACTAGAAAAAAATCAGCATGTTACGATGTTGTTCATGTAAAACAGAAAAGGATTGGTGGGGAAACCCATGTTGTAGCTGGAATGCGTTTCCTGAAATGAACCCCAAGGTCATTTTAATCTGAACATGCCATAAACACAACCAGAAAACTCACTACAGCATCTATACAGGGCTATCCTTTAAGGCTCCTTCAAATCTTCAGGATGAGGTGCTTCTGTCCGGATGCCCAGATTGGGGGGGGAGGGGGCTGATATGCCGTAGCCCTCCCTAAATGGTAATCTTGGAGGGGTCATCCCAATTTGATGGATACCTTAGGATGATCTTTAACCAGGGTTAACCCTACCAAATTATCAACCAGCAGGGAGGTTAGTTGATACAGGATACATACCCAATGCCTGGGTGCCAAAACCCGTTGGCATCTGTAATCAATAAAGTTGTGGCCTGTTTAACCCCAAAAATTGCTGTACTGTGTTCATTGCAACTTCACCATGCCTTGGCCACGCTGCCCACGGTTTCACTGCACCTGGTCCAACAAACCCCAGACTACTGTCTGGCAAATAACACAGTTCAGCTGTGGACCATAACCTCAACGCAGAAACAGTCACATATGGAAAGGGATTGGTCCTTTATGCTGTAGGTAGTAGATATGTATCCAATGCATCCAATCCAATCCATGTAACTAATTTCTGAGGTGGGACCTTATTATCAATCTTCTTAGGTTGTATAAAGTATCGTATACTTTGCTAGTGCTGTAAAAACAATAGTGGCAATCCAACATCAATCAAACTAGTTTCTTTCATGGTGCTACAACATTTTTTTAAAGTGATACATTTGGTTTTGAACGTACTGGAATGCAGAAAGACAAAAACTAAGATGAAAAGCCTAAGCAAATTTTTGCCAGCATGACACAGGAAAAGCAGCCAGATTCTGGAAACAGACCAAGATGTTTTGGCAATAAACAGATTGAGGAAATTTTAAATTCCCACTTCAGCCAAATCTTAAGCAACAACCAACAAGCTCTGGTGATGTGCCCATCTAGAACCATGGTTATGCATGTTTTACTCAAGCACACTTATGGTATATAAAGTAGTTCCATGGAACTAGTGGCACAGACTTTTCCTCCACTCCATTTGACAGAATGGGAAACCCTACACAGCAACCTTTTCTCTTGCAAAATAATTGGCAGGGTTCTGTAATTTGCAAATCTATTTTTAATATAAATGGATACAGATGTGTTTCTACAAAGTGCTTATTTATTACATGCCTTTCTCTCATTAACTCCAAAACGGCATCTATCCACTTCCTTTCCCACTATGCTTTCAGGGAGAAACAAAATAAAGGACTAGAGATTAGTTATGGCCTTATTTGCTCCTGGTGAAATTAAGAGAAATAGCCAACAGCATGACCAGTCCCATCCTTAAGCAGAGTGAGGCAATTGCCTCAGGTGGCAGATACTGCGGGTAGCACTGGCATCACTCTTGGCAATTCCCCTCTGTTGGAGAATCAGAGCCTGCTGCCCTCAGGTGCAAAGGAGGATGCTATCCCATTGCCAGTGCTGAAGTCAAGTAAACTTCAGTACATGGAATGAGTGAGGTGGGGGCAGGGCAGTATCTTGCTTTTTGCCTCAAGCAGCAAAACGTTTTGCGCTGGCCCTTATGTGAAGACATATAAAACACAGACATACGCAAAGAGTTGTATCCAGTGGTGGCTTTGTGTTAGCAGGTGTTCTTCTGCTTGCACAAGGCAGGACACCATATTTTTAGTAATTCCTCTACCTAGTGCACCCCTCTCCATGCCCCCCCAGGCTCGCCTTAGCTATTTCCAGCACTATACTGGAATATAGTGCAAGTTTACTGCTCATTTCCATGTTACTCACTTCCAGAAAAAAATCAATTTGCAAATGATATGGAAATATGTGCAAACCTTGAAATCAATGGCAGGTGTTCTGGGACTCTGGTGCCAGTAGTACAGGCTAGAAAGGCAGGTTTTATCAGTAATGGGCTGGCGCAAGGCAAAAATTGCTAATTCCTAAGCAGAAGTGTTTTGTATTGGAAGTCAAGCCAAAACTGTCAAATACAATTCTTTTTGTTTATAAGGATCTATTCTCATCTTTTGAGCTTAGCATGAGGAGAATAAAGTCACTTTTAAAATACAGAATGATGAATGGAATACCACACAGCAACAGCTAATATTTCCAAAACATGTGGTGGGCATCCAGATCCAGAACATTACACCTATAATCCTGTATCCAGTTTTGACTTTAGTGAGTCTAAGCTTCCATAACATTAGGGGGCAATCCTGTAGTACAGTATGTTAAAATTCAGGCAAATGGAGTGAAGTAGACTTTTGTAGACAATGAAGCACATTGAACAAGAAATAACAGGAGGTTTTATTATTTTTATTTATACCCCACCCATCTGGTTGGGTTTCCCCAGCCACTATGAGTTGATTGATTGAAATAATGAGGTTGAGTTGATTGAAATAATGGGGATTTTACTACATTTAGCAATACTGTAGCAGTAAAAACCAACTGCTTCAAAACTGCAAAGTGATTAAAGTGTAGTGTTAGATATGACTGAATACTTGCAATAGACATTGCTTTCTTTGTTTTTATAATTTATAAGCAGTTTCTAAGAGGTGTGCATTAGGGATACAGCATGAAATCAGTTAAAATTCCCTCTGTCTCACAAGTCTCTCAAGTAAATGAAATGTGTATGTATATAAAGAAGTTCTTCAAACTGCCAATGTGAAATATAGTAATGAGTAAAAAGACTGACCCAGCAATTAGTCTATTTCCCATTTTCCTGGTCTTATTCAAGTGTCACTGAAGTCTACAGACATATTCAGATCAGGTGGGTGCAGGTCTAATTGTTATGGTGGTTGGGTATTGTGATTTACCCTCTCGTGCAGAATATTAGACTACGAATAATTCTGCACAACAGAGAAAAATAGGTATGAACTTGCATTGTCATTTCATTGCTTAAAACTGTTCTGGACAGCTACACGTACAGCTGAGCCAATGCAACTTACTGTTTCCCATTAACATTTTTGGCAGTAAAAAAATTCCTCTTTTGCTGATGATTTTTCAGCACTCCTTGCAAGTGGGGAGGGATGGTTGCTTATTCTTGTAAACTGCCCTCAGTTGTCTCAGTGGCATCACCATGCAGCAAAATCTGATTGGGTACCTAGCATTGTGACATTATCACATTCACTATTCAGGATCCCTGACTGAGTGGGATCACCAATGTAATCCTGGAGGAGAAAGAAGCAACAGCCAAGAGAAATAAAACTGCTGACCACGACTGAACAATAGGGGAAAGCCACACTGCCTAAGTATTTTACAGATGAAATTTCCACTTGGTTCTTGCCTCAAATTAAAAGCAGAGAATACATGATGCAGCCCTAGTTCTACACCAGTTATTTTAGTTAATTTCAGTTACAAACCATATGCACATACCTAATTTTCAGTCATCCTTTGCATCCTGTTTTGCATATTGTTTATTCACATTACAGTACTGCTTCCGAGCAGCTAGCTTCATGCACAGAGAAAACATCACACAGCTCTAAGAGAAGTTCATTTCCCTGTCTGCATTTCATGACCTTTGACGCAAACTGCCTTAGTCCTCACACTTTAAGCCAATGCAATAAAAGAATGCCAGAAACCAGTGCAAACAGCCACACCTTTAGGAAACAGTTCAGGGTTGTATGAATAAACAAAAGCATATATTAGTCACTCATTCAAAATTGGTATTGCCCATAGGAACCAAAACTTCAGACCTGAATAGTTAGCATGCAACCTGCCAAAGATTATCACTTCCTTAAACTTATTCTGACAGTCAATCTTTATTTGCATATCAACCCCTATACATAAGTGATCGGTGTTACAAGTGACTGAGTAGAATTAGTAAAATAAATGGCGTATAATTTTCTTCTGACCAGCTCCTGCTCCTTCCTTCACTTTCTCATTCTGACCTTAGGAACTGCATAGACTCTGATTTCTGGCTCTATGCACGGTGCCAACTACCAAAGTGCAGGCCTGTTTTTATTAGCTTCTCAAACACTTCACCAGCTTTACATTTAAATCTTCAAAATGTTTTCTAAACACTCTGAATCATAATGAGAATTCCATTTACTGAAAAGGTGCAGCCTTCCATATAACAACTGAACATGTTTAATGACTGATCCTTTTATACATTACAGCATCACTCATGTTTTCAGTAAATGGATATAATTTTCTCCGCTTTACCCTATTATTATCATTCGTTAGCATCACCAAGCTACAATTCCAACTGCAGGTATTTCTCCCCCAGCAATTATCTTCTTCACAGAAGCAACTCAGGCAGGTTTAGAAACCATCTAGTTTTGCATATTAGGCTAAAAAGCAGCAAACACATTTCAGAAAAGAAAACTGAAGCATGTATGTGTGTGTGTGTGAGTGGCAGAGGTCTTTTTTTAAAAAGCAGCTGAAGAAGGAGAGGCTAGTGGGTGAAGAAAGAGCTGTGAGTGGAGGGGGCCCCTTTTCACACCCTCTGGACCCCTGGGAAACTCAGCAAACCTGCTGTACCTGGAATTGAGGGTGCAGAGTGCAGCTGAATGGGACATGGCTGTGGGCAGCCTGAGGAAGTGCCATACACTTTGGGCCTGCCCATAGAAAGCATGTCTAGTGAGAGAGACTAGGGTGATGTCCAATGTTTCCAGGAACTTTTCTTCTTGTGAGACTTTTGTGCGTGAGCTGAGAGTTTGTTTGGACCCTGGGTGAGAACCAGGAGGCTGAGGAGGAGAGTGTGTCAGAAGGAAAACGAATTGATACTGATTAATATGTATTAGTAACTTTGTATCAATGCAACATTTAATATAATAAAAAAATTCCTTCCAGTAGCACCTTAGAGACCGACTAAGTTTGTTATTGGTATGAGCTTCCGTGTGCATGCACACTTCTTCAGATACACTGAAACAGAAGTCACCAGAAAAACCAGCTGCACCAATATAAGATGGACACCTGGCTTACTAGCAGTACATGTGAAAAGGATCCAGGTGTCTTAGTGGACCACAAGCTTAACATGAGTCAACAGTGTGATGCAGCAGCAAAAAAGCTAATGCTATTCTAAGCTGCCTCAACAGAAGTATAGTGTCTAGATCAAGAGAAGTAATAGTACTGCTTTAGTCTGCTACTGGAAGGATTTTTTTTATTTTGTTTCAACTACGGCAGACCAACATGGCTACCTACCTGTAACTAGAACATTTTCATATGTAACTCTGTATTTTCGTAATGTTTTGTTTCATTTGTCTGCTGTTGCTTTAAGTTTGTTTGTACATGGCTTAGAGATATTTTTAACATATTAAGCCATATAGAAATTCAATAAAAATCAAAAGCTAGTTTCCATAGAAAATGAAATAAAGTCTGCTATATGCACAAACCAAAGGACCAATCCCAGTCCTGATAAAATCAGCACATTAGTAAGGAGCAAGAATCAACCCAGCTAGGCAATTTTCATGAATTATATTTGTGACTAGGAGCCAATTCATAGCAAAGGCTATGTGAGCAGCCCCAGCCTTCCTCAGGTATGTGCTCATATAGAGATAAGACCAATTCATGTACTCAACAAGCTTAGAATCCTCTCCGCAGAGCGGGGAGCAAGGGTGTACCATTATCATCCTGCCTATAAAGGAATATGTGATCCAACTGTCTGATTTTATGAGATCTTTACTTCTCAGAAAAGGAGAGGTTGTATAAGTCAAATTGATATACACATTGGTCTATGCATGGAGCGCTCAAATAACATGTTACCATATATACACATTGGATGCGATGTCCGTCAGCTTCTCCACCACATGGAGAGAATCCTCTGTAAGGTGAGTATGTGAAAAGCACTACAATGCTTAGTTCTTGCAATCACAGGTATTGCTGGCAGCCCCTCCAATAATAGCAATAACATTTTTCCATCTGCCAGAGTTATGGGAGTTTCTTCTGGCCGTATCAATATCCATGCAAATGCATAAAAAGAAATAGTTGAACCTAGTCACACAGATAAGTGTGTGTGTGTGTGTGCGTGCGCGCGTGCCCATGTGTGTGCATGTGTGTTTAAATTGTGATATAGATTGTGCATTTTTAGCAGTCTCACAAATCGGATAATTAGTTGGAAACGTGTCTCATTGACATCAACATATCTTACTTCCATGTCAACATATGTGGGTGCCTATTTATCATTTTGTGTATTCCTAACCTCACTATCATGAACTGCGTTGCTAAAGCTAAAGTAACAAACCAAATGCATACTTATTTCTTGCAGAGACCCTTAAATGGAACCATTAAGGAAGGGGGGGGGGAGGAAGGAAAAATCCTCTCTGCAGAAAACCACCATTGTCAATATATATAACAGTAGCAAACTACAACAAGCTGACTTTATTCTGCAATCACCAAACTTTATAATTAGCAATGTTTTCATTTCAGTAATATACACTGGCTTCACCCATTCACTGAGGATCACTGAAATGAATGAGAAAACTGTTCACATGGGATTTCTAACACTACTTCTGAGATATACATAGCTCTACTACTGGCTAAATACCGAGCAGATACAAATCATGGTACCATAGCTCTGAAGGCAGATCTAAACCATCTGATAACAATAACAATTCAGCCTGTAATGTTTGTTGCACAAATGCATCATAAAAACAAGGTAGTGATCTACATCCTGCAATCATTTACCACAATACCACCAATATGGACTTTGGTTGGCCTCAATTGCGGTAATCCTGAAACTGCTTACTCCGATATAATTATATTGAAAGCAAAAGGGATTATTGCAAAAGAAAGCAGTCTGAAAACTGCAACAAAAGATTCTGTGCATAGAGCTTTCTACCAAGACACAACTTAATTTTAGTGTAATAAAATAATAGTGATAATGATATCATACCTCTTCCACTTCTGCCCACGAATCTTAGGTCATTAAATCTTGCGACTTGATTCTTCATGGCAGCAGTAGCGTTTCTGAGTTCTGCAGAGTAGTTTTCATCATTTCCAGCCATCACTGTGACCAGAGTCCCATCAGGGACATCTCCTAAGGCCACCACCTAAAAGAATAAAATGGAAGCACCATTAGTTTGTTATTGATAATTTGAAGGTGCAAACTATAAGCAAAAGTCAAATAGGATGCAGACAGGAGACTGCATACAAACTTGCAAGTTTAACAATCTTAAGCGCTTAGAAGTACAGTATGAAACTTACACTCAGGTACATAAGGTTAGGATTGCAACCTAAGTTAGTTGTACTAAAGTCCAACTGAAAATCAATCAGAATTAAGTTAGCCATGACTAGCTTTTCCAATAGATTTCAGTGGGACCTAATAGTGGCTAGCTTAGTTCATATCCAAGCAGCTGAATATATATAACATTTCTTTGGTAAATAGGGTGCTAAAACACAGCACCCTATTTAACCGGGCACAATAAAGAAATTAAAACCTGAATCTCAAACACATTTTTTGGGAAAGAAATGTCATTGGTTTCAATAAAACTGAAATAAGGGTGGTTGCATTAGTGCAGTGTGGCATTCTGGAGTGCTGTGCTGAAGCAGTGACTAAATGTAAGCTAGCAACAACCTCTAAATTCAGGCTGGTGATTGTAGATGAAGCTTGAACTACAGATCTATTTGCGTACTCCATGGCAATCTAGTGTGAATCAGAAGCACTTCCTTCCACACAACATGCTTAGAATCAGGAGGTCGGAAGCCCTCTACCTGACCCAGAGCCAAAGTCTCCTTTTACACTCCCCACTTGAGTTTTGGCCCCTGTCTTCCAAGTAAGTGGCAACTTCTTTAAAAAAACATTCTTTTCACTTCTGCTGAAACTGCCCGGTGTTGAATTTTCCGCTTCTACTTCCCTCTACCCACCCTTCCTCCACAGCCCTAGTCCTTTCAATGAAACGCAACAGTCAATTCACTTTTTTTTACATTCACCTGCTCCTGTTTTTCTTTTCTAATCATCTGAGGCTAAGCAGGAACCAGGCAAAAAGTTTGAGTGAGAAATAAGGCAGGCAGCAAGCTGGGACATGGTGACCTTTTATAATTTTAGTGCAAATAGTGCAACTCCTGAAGTCAAAAATAGCATCATTATTCCTGCTTCTCTCTCTATAAGGCCCTGTTTCTTCCTCATCTCTTTGGTCTCATAGGGTACTCTCTCTCTCTTTCTCTCTCCTAAGTTAATTGTCCCAGAACAGGACAACTGCCCCTCAGACTTTGCTGGGCACCTATGTGAGAAGTTGTTGGCCTTTTCTTCTGAAGCTTCTAGAAGAGGGTGGGGAAACTTATGGCTGTCCAGGCATTGCTGGATCCAAACTTCCATCAGCTTCAGCCATCACAACCAAAGGTCAGTGATAATGGGAACGGAGAGTCCAGCAACATCTGGAGGGCCACAAGTCCCCCACCCTTGTTCTAGAAACTTCTGGCAGGAAGGACAAGTACAAATGACAAAGTACGAATTGGGCTCCCTGAGAAAAAATGTTTTAGCTTAAGGTTGCAGTCCTGTAAGGAATTATTACTTACTAGGGCTAATGCTACTGAAACAATTTGAACCTATTTCTGAATAAACATGGTTGTAATTGTGATATAAAGCTGTATTCCTAGGATCAGTTACTGAACACAGTGAGACATCCCTCAGAATAAGATCCATTTTCCCCCAGTGAGATTTCTTCCCATAATAAGAATAAGAATAATAATGCTAGGATTGTACCTTTATACACCGATTATTATTTTTTCCTAGTCAAAATACTGTAAGATGTTAACAACAATTAGTCATTCTAGCAATATTACTTCAGGTGCAATACCTTATTTTTTTTTCCAGCGACAAATTGAATTATAGCTTTACTAAGTCAATAAACTATAGTGTTTATTAGAACACAATTTGAAAAAATATTATTTGATCCTATGCATGTCTTTCTAAATATGCATACTAGTGGGTGTGTTTCTTTTGGTTTTTTTAAAAAATAATAATAAAAAACTCCACAGAAAAAGTAGATTTTCAATTCTCTGTGTTTACAACATAATGCCGGAAACTCTGGGAAGACGCTAAAGAAAAATATCTAGGCCCAGGAGAAAGAGACTGGCAAGTAAAGCTGTAAAAGAGGCACAGAACACAAACATTTACATTATAAAACAGACTAAACAGATAAGTAAGAACTTGTTGACTGGAGATAGCTAGCTGTGTGTGTGTTTCTGCTTGACTGTTCAGCTTATAAAAATATGTTCTACATGAGCTAGAAGGAATACAGACAATTCAAAGTTGCAGCACAACTAAATCTTACTGCTTTATCCCCCTAATTGGGGGGGGGGGATATTTTAAGTAAGAATGAGATTATTATCTTATCCTCCATTGTACTTTTCTATTACAATTTATCAAACATTAGGAACAGATAGTTTATCATCTTTCTTTTTCACTTAATTTATACAGGCAAAAGCCAACATTAGCCATACCCCGAGCTGACCCATCAAATGAGTCTGCTCTATCATTTGTCAGATATCAGCCATCATCTTAAATTTGACAGAAAATCCTAGGTTTCCAAAGGGATTAGGGCAATGCAACCTAATCTATGGATCAATTAAATCCGACTATTTAGATTAGCCCAGATGAAGTTCAATGCTTTGTCTTTTTTTTTTTTTTAAGTGTTGTAAAGGTGCAATGCAAGGAGCATCACAAGAGTTAAGACTTATGGACAAACCAGTGCACAGAGATTAAACTGCTATCCTCAATATTTTTACTCAGGAGTAAGTCCCACAGAGTTCACAGTGATTTATTTCAACAGTTTTAGTTACATGAAAGTCATACTGAACCCAGCTGAGGCTTATTTCCAGGCAAACATACTTAGGATCACAGTCTCCCATGTGGCAATATTCCCATACTTGCTTGGATGTAAGTGTCACTGGAAACAATAGTATTTACTTCCATGTAAGTGCAGTTAAGACTGGGATGTAATTCCAGGTATTCTCATTTGGTAGATTTTGGCCTTTGTGGTGTGCAAGTATGCAGTTACCATCTGCTGTAGTAAATAACAGAAAGTCCATGGATGGTTTGTTTTAAATAGCAGAACCAGTTAAGTCCTTAACTTTACTAGGGCTCTTCTACAAGAAGTGGACTGTTGATCTGCTGCGTCAGAATGCTGAAAGGCAAGCTCTTGTGGAAACATGTAAAGAAATAATAATTATTCCCAAAATTATTTAAATAACAACACTCCTCAGTTGTGGGAAATGGTTATACCTACAAGGAGGAGGTTATATAAGCAAAATCTAGCAAAATCCAGTCTGTGGTGTTTTCCCTGAGAATTTATTCAGTTATGGATTGGTGTTTTTTATTTTATTTTGAGGGACAGAATATTTTTTTTAAACCACCAATAGTAGTGTATGCAGGATGGGAAGCTGGAAAAGGGAATTGTTAACACTCTGCCCATCTCAGCAGTTTTATATGCAGGAGTCTGGTTTAATTCCTCTTCACCCATCACATCCCAAGTATTTTCTGGTTTTAAAAAAACACTCATTTTGGTTGTTTTCGGTTGCAAAGCTCTATGTGTGCGTATGCTGAAGGACTTGACTACAGTGGGATTTACTTCTGAATAGGCAAATATGCATAGGACTGCAACAGTTTGTTACAAAGGGTTACATATTTATTGATAATATAAGACAAAGTTCCCTTGCTTGCAAAGGTGTGTGTGTTCTGGGGCAGGGAAAATCCTGAACAAGAAACATTTATTTACTCTCGCTTCTTAAATCACACACATTTGCATTGCGTGATGGAATCCTTTCTGTCATATGACATTGTTGATGTAGTAGTAGTAGTTACTTTTATGATTATGATTATATTTATGTTTTCCAGAAAGAAAGAAAGAAAGAAAGAACGAACGAACGAACAAGGGCTTGAAGCCCCAAAGTTCTCAAAACTGAAGCTGGCTGGAGAATAACACGTTTGGGAACTAATAAGGAAGAAACTGAACCAGTGCGAACAGATCTTTCTCATCCTCCTTGGCTGCTACTTAAGAGACCCGGGCAGGTAATCGGATTTAATATCGTGGCTATTTAAAAGCTCTGCTGGAATTCGAAGGGAGAGAAAAGCACGTACTGGCTGCTGTCAGCCTGCAGGGAAGTGAGAAAAGTGAAGCTTAGCCAGAAAAAGAAGGGCGGGAGGCTGCGGAAGGCAGCCTCAAGCAGAACTTTGCTTTTTCTGAGATCCCCTTGAACAGGAACAGCTTGCGGGACATTAGGATGGGGGAATACAAGGCAGACCACTTTCCCCGTAAATTTAGTAGTGTAGCTAAATCAGGAAAAGAATTAATCGAAATAAGCAAGATCTCTTGGAAGTAGACTCAATGAAAACCAATGGCACAAAAAATGAGGGACTCGGGGGGCAAGGGCCACTTATTAAGGTCGGGGGTGCAACACTTATTCCAGACCAAACTTAAACGAGAATGGGTTCTAGAGGGCTGTGGGCAGCGATTCGAGGCCAAGCAAATTCAGACGGGTCAAGCAAATTTGGGGAGGGAGGCATAAAATTGACAAGCGTGGCATTCGCTCCGGATTCACTCCGGATTCCTCTTTCATCCTACCCCCTCTGCGCCTTCATCAGTGAAGACGATCCGCCGCCAAGAACCAAGGGATCGGGTCCTGATCATAAAGATGAAAGGGAGTGGGCTTTTGGGGATCGATTCAGAAATGCCCAGCACACTTTTGAAGGCCTGTCCTCCGAGGAAGAGTTGCTGAGGGAGAGGGGGGGGGGCGCCAACCCGATCCAAGTATTGCGCGCACTTGGTTCGATTAGATTTACTTGCAAGTAAATGTGAAGCCTTGGGGTGAAATCAAGTGTGTGTGAGAGAGGGAGGGAGAGAGAAGCCTGCCTTCCAATGAGCGCGTCTGGGTGGCGTCGGCCAAGTGGGAAAACCACCTGCAGGACTCTTGTACCCAAGGAAGCCTTTCCAGAGAGGAAGCTACTCGCCCCAGTCTCTCTGCTTGCCCTGGGCTAGGAGGGGCGCCTTCACTGGGCTCCCAGAGGCTGAAAACAGGCTAGACAGTGGCCGGGCGGGCAAGAGGAGAGGTGCTTCCAGGGAGCGCTAGGATGGCTCCGCCTGGGATGTTTGGGCGAAGGGGGCAGGCAGGCTGAACAAGTGTGAACGGGCCGAGGAGCAGGGCTTGGGTTTGGGCAATCCCCTACTCTAAATAAGGGAACCACTGATGTCATGGAGGGCGGGGGGAGACCCGGGGTCTTCCTGGACTCCGGCTTGGCGAGGGTAAATCTTAACACCCCTTTAAAACTTGCTACGCCGCTTCTAAAGGGGGAAGGAGATTTGTTAGGTTGAGCGAGCTACTGAAATCGATCCTACACGTGTCCCCTCGGAAGGAAGTCCTCCTGAATCCAGGAGAGGGGGTCTTACTCCCTGGGAAGCAGCGAGCGGAGCTGGGCACAAAGTTTTGCCCACGGGAGGGTTCCGTCTCCTGTTTTGAAGCACAAGGCCCGAAAGCAGCAACCATCTCCCCGCCTCCCAAAAGAGCAAACCTTCAAAACATAAACGCTGAACTACTGCAGAGGTCAAATAACTTATTCTGGAGCAATGGGGGTGGGGGCCGTCATGAGACCTTTTTGTTTTTTTTGCAAAGTGAGTGTTCTGTTACTTTATTTATTTGTTCATGAATGAATGCCAGGCGATTGCATCCACACACACGCAAACTCAGCCGTCCTGCTTCGTTTTAAAACTCTGCTGGGGGGCTGCTGACCAAGAAGCTGACTTGTTCCGTGCGAACAAATGCGAGTTTTACATCCAAAGGGAAATATGGGGGGGGGGCGTGTTTATATGCAGGGATACTTCCAGCTTTGGCGTTTCTTAAAGTTAGGCCTGAAGTACTAGGATTTTTTTGATTTTTTTTTTTAAGCAGGCGGACGCTTTTGTTACTATCACACGTGCATTATTCCCCAATAGAGGGGGTCGATTTAAAACGTCTGGAACTCTGCGTGTATCTGTTTTCCATTTGCTACCATATGCACGTGGACTAAGCTGCCGGCTGCAGCGGGTGCTCTCAACATATGGGATCCAAACACAAAAGAAATCCACGCCAACCTCGAGTTATGTGTTAATCCCTTTGGGGACACCCGGAGGGGGTGGGAGCGGCTTGAGCGGCTTCGGTTACAAAGCGGCGCTCGCAGGTGCTTCGCACTGAGCCAGCCTTCGAGTCCCAAGTTATTTTATAGGGGCGATCTCCCTGACCCCGGCGCAAATCAGGTGCACAGCTTCAGCGGCTGAAGGGTCTGCTTCCTTCCGCAGCATGTAGGGGTGTGTGTGTATCCCCCCCACATGTAAACAGACCTTCCACAAAACCCACCAGAGCCTTTTCCCTCCTTTTACAGCACTCTTCGTGCAGACCGATCCTATTAATGTTTCCTCGCAAGTCAGTCCCGCAGAATTCAGCGAGGCCGCCGCAGCCTTGTCGTAGCGATTTGTGAATGAACTTCAGGGGCCGAAAGGAGAAAACTCTCCTCCCTTTTCTTACTCCAGCCTGAGCTATACAGAGATGGTGAGAGCTCAGCTATGAAAGGAGAGGGCCTTGCTGCGTTCAGCGCTTTGCTGCGCTCAGCGAAAGACCGTAAATGTGAATGAGGAGGCTTCAATAGCACTCTAGAGGCCAGGTCCTCATCTCGCGTGCGCCTTTATGCTTGCGAGACTACACTTGCGAGGCTTGCTTCACTCGGCTTTAAGTCAAACTGCCTTTACGCAGAAGTAATCCTAAGGGTACCTAACAGTGTTTACTTCTAAACGAAGCACGCGGGATTTCTAAAATAACCACTTGTTGAGGTCAGATCTGCGCGTAGATACCGCCGGCTGTGATGGAAGCATGTCTAAGATTGTAATAGATATTAGGTAGTGTGTGTTAGTGTGTGAATTCCTTACTTGTCACCGTGGACAATTCTGCTCCCGTAAATACCTTCTTAAGTTTATTCCTGCTCCACACACCAGCCAGCTACGCTCGGAGGGACGCCGTATGAAAGAGTGTGGGTGAGAGAAAGCGTGTGTATATATTTTTTTTAAAAAATGGTTTGGCTCCCTGTGTTTCTGCTAAAGGGCTTTGGGAATTGGGGTATTAATTCAGTAACTGCTTTTGACTCTCTAGAGGGAGGGAGGAGGAATCGTGAGCGACTGGAAGCAGGTCTAAGCTCAATCTTCCCGTGAAATATTTCCTCCTCCATGATATTTACTTACACGTGTTACTCCTTGTCCTCCTGGCGTGAAGTCCTTTGATCCTTTCTACTTTGCCTGCTTGTGCCTGGCATCCCCGAAGGCGTTTATTCGGGAGGAAGCCCCACGGAATTCAATTGAGCATTTCCTTCCAAATACTCTTAGTGTTTTAGGAAGGTCGAGTTTAAGGCTCGGAGGTCGGTCAGTGCTTTCGGGAGGAAGGCGTTAAGTTCTGGGTGATTGTAGGAAGTAAGTAGCCTTCTCTCTCATGGGTAAATCTCTATTAGGGGAAGGGTGGGTGGAAAGTAGAGGGAGGTCTATCTACCCCTGGCCAGTTGAGGCCTGCTGGTTTCTGCGGCTCTTGTACATAATACTAGGTGGCCTTTGGTCTTAAGCGAGGCTTGCACACTTAGGATAACTTACTACTACAGGCTGATTATGCCTTCTCTGTGAAGTGATTATGAGAATTCACTCCTGTTTACTAAACTTTTAGAGACATGAAGCAGATTACGGAGATTCCACTTTTGTTTTGGGTTTGTTTGAAAATAAAACAAGCCAGCCTACCCGTGTATTACGGATGGGAAAAATATCTCCATGGCACCCTAGGTGCTCAGGGTGGCACTTTCAGGGCAATCCTAACCATGCCTATGCAGAAGTAAGTCCTATTGAATTTAGTGAAATGTATTCCCAGGCAAATGTAGGTAGCTGCTACTCGATAGAAGGAATTAAGCTCAGCTGAGCAGAGCGTGGCTTGCTTTTGGTGGAAAATGCACAGGACAACGTGCTAAGGCTAAGTCTCCCTTAACTCGGAAGGCTTTATTCCTCACTAAAGCTGTTTAGGGTCGCGCTACACGGCAGCGCCCGTGCGCACACTTCCTCCGAAGTAAACTTCAATTATTGTAAGGGGTCTTGCTGCCAGGTCAACCTGCACGAGGGGCCGTCGGCATGGCTGCAATCCGACGCCCACTTACTCCGAAAGATGCCCCCTTCCAATTTAGTCAGACTTCCTAACGAGGATCGGACCCGGTTAGACATTTCGGGAGCCTTTTCCGCGCGCCACGAAACCGCATCTAAGGATGCAGTCCACATGGCCGAGGGCCGAACTTTGCGGTTTCCGTTTCCAGGCTGCCACCCTTTCCCCAAAGCACACTTCGCTGGAAAAGTCCAGCCCCGCTGCTTTCTGTGGATCTTACTTCCGAGTAAACCCGCACAGGCTCGGGCTGCCCGGCTGCAAGCCGAAACTTCCCCCCCTGCAAGTCCCCTCCGCAAGCCGTGGGCCTTTACTGCCAGGTAAATAGTAATGGGCTGCATTAGACACAAGACTGACAGCGGAGGAACTCTACCGCTGAGTCGACCCCCCCCGCCGCCCCCCTCTTCTCCCCTTGCCCCTCGTACCTTGAAGGCGATGGGCAGCGTCTTGTTGCACCTCCAGTGGGTCGGCAGGACGGAGCAGAGGAAGTTGGGGCTGTCGGTGCGCACCAGCTCGCCGGCGTGATCGGCCAGGACCTCCACCATGCTGCGGTCCGCGGTCCTCATCTTGCCCGCCAGGGCGCCGCCTCCGCCGCCGCCGCCGTTCTCGTGGCCAACCAGCGGCAGCGCGTCGCTCATCTTGCCCGGGCTCAGCGCGGTCGAGGGCGGCGTGAAGCGGCGGCTCGTGCTGGTATCTACGGGGATACGCATCACAACAAGCCGGTTGAGTGAGAAAGCTCCGCACGGGGCTTCGCGCAAAGCGGGGCGGGCGCAGCAACTCTTCGGCCGGAGGCTCTCGGGAGACCCACATAAAAGGAAAGAGCCTTAGGGGTCCCGCAGAGGAGCCAGTCCCGGAGTCAAGGCGGATCAACAGTTGGCTACGGCAGGGGGACGCTCGTTCTCCTGGTCCTGCCACACTTAATCCAAGCATCCAGTTGGCAAGCTCTCCTGGAAATATATTGCGCGTCCCTCTCTTTTAGAAGCAACAACAAAAAGAAGCAAGAGTCCCTAATAGGTTTGGACAAGCCTTTTTTTCTTTTGGCCTTCTCCCCTCAGGAATGACCAGTGCTATGAAAAATCAAAGGCCCTTCCAAAATCCCACACACGGGGAGGAGGAGGACTGAGCAAAGGGATCCGTTGCAAGCGCCGGAGACAGGAGGAGGGAAGGGGCTAGCCGGTCCTTCCAGTAGCGAGTTTCCTGTCCTGTTGGGAGAGCAGGCTGCTCTCTCCCGTCCACCCACACCCCGCTCTGCTCCTTAAAAAACAAAAGAAGCCGCTCTAGAATCCGGATTTAAGCCCACCAGTCTCTGCTCGTGGAGAGAGAAAATCGGTTTCAGAACAATTTGAGGGCGGGGAGGGAAGGGGGGGTGGGGACAGGCTTTCACGGACGTGGCCTGAGGTTTCTCAAAGGTCAAGCGGCTATCACAGCATTATATACTGTACTTCATCAAATATTTACAGTCGGCTCTAGAGAGAGTTTAAACACAACAGAAATCCATTAATGTTCTTCTGCAGGAGCTCCGCTTCCCTGCCCCTCTCTTCCTAAAGCGGCCTTGAGAAACCCGGCCTCGGGGGGCTGCCGCGCCGCTCTCCGAAAGGGCCAGGAGAGTCCCGCGGCCGCGGCGCCGTTTCGCAACGCTTTGGCCGGGTCGGCAACGAGGGCGAGGAATGGAAGAAGAAGATGATCCCGGCAGGTCGGGCGGCCAATAATGTGAAGGAAAGGAGGAGGGAGGGAGTCCATATGAGGAGAGAGAGAGAGAGGGAAGGAAGGAAGGGGGAACACCCCTCTGGTTTGGTCGGGGCTGCTGGTTGGCTTGTGGGTTCCCTCTGCGGTTACTGCGTGCAGCAACTTTCGAGCGCGCACTTCTGAAGTCACCCAACAGTCTGTGGCCGCCGGGTGAGTCACGCTGCCAACTTGGGGGGAAAAGATCTGAGGCAATCTTCCTCAGAGTCAGCCGCCGGGGCCCGGCTGCTCAGCTATGGTTTAACCACAGCAGGTGGAGCTCCGCTTTCGGGACCATCGTTTGCTTTCTCTTCTCCGCGCCCCTCGCCCCCTCACGGCCTTCCTCTTTCCCTCCCCTCCTTTCTCGCGCCTCCAACTTCGTTACAACGCGCGAGGGGGGCCCGGCCGAGTTTCCGCTTCTGCCCCACCAGAAGGCTAGCAGCACACGCGATTGGCAGTAAGAACAAACACAGGCACGCACACACGCACGCAGGCAGGCAGGCAGGCGGACGGGCGCGCAAGCGGCCTCAGAGTCAAGAGTTAAAAAAAGAAGTAGTAGGAGTCGCTCAGACGACAGAGCCTGCGCTCCTCCCAGGGTCCACGTTCCCCAAGCGGAAGGAGTCTTCACGTGTTCACCAGACGCCAACGGCGAGCTTTCCCGAGGGCTCCTGCCTAGGGAGGCCAGTCTCTCCAGCTGTGTGTGACCTTCTGTGAGGCGCTGTTTGTTTGCTCATGCTGGTCTCAAAAAGCCTGGTCTGTCTCTCTCTTTCTCTCTCTCTCTGCCCCCCCCTCCGCGCGCCCTCCTCCTCCTCCCTCTCGCCTTCTGGCTCTATGAATGGAGATTGACTGGAAATGAATTTGCTTTTACAGTAAGAGAGTCCGGAGGAATGCCATTCCCTCAGCTCTTTTGCATAGGGGAGGGCGCCGGCCAATCAGAGCCCTTTCCGGTATTCAGCAGGGCGCGGCTCCAACCCGCGGGCTCCTGGAATTGGCCTGCGCACCGCCGCTGGAAGCTACTGTAAAAAGCCAAAGGGAGGCCCGCGTGTCAATGGGACGCCGCGATTACCGCAGCGCGCGCGAGAAAGAACAAGCGAGCAAGCGGCAGACCTCTGGGCGGCGGCTGCGGCGTCTTGCGCGAAGCCTCAGAAAGGCGGACTGAGGGAGATGCGGGGACAAGAGTCGCGCGGCCCGCTCACGCGCCAAACGTTTCCCTCGTGCGTGGGTGGGTCCCCGCGGGACAATGAAAAGGGCGCGAAAGTAGCTCCCGAGACTCTCAGTCGCCTGGCTGGCTTCGAGAAGGAAGCTCACCCCGCACGGACCCCGAGCACCCGCCCACCCCCACCCCAGCCGGGCTTTTTCAACACTCAACCCACACGAAGCCTAGGCCAGGTCCCACGCAGTGACTGGGCTAGTAACCCCCCTCAGCACGCGCGGCTGAGGGAAAGGGGGTGGGCGGTTTTCGCTTCTTGTGGAAATAAAGCGAGTTATATCGCCTTCAGTAAGAGCTGCTGCCTCCCCTTCCAAGTAGTATTATTTTGCCCCGATTCAGCATGTGAGCCCCCACAAAATGCAAAGTTCTGGGCAAAGGTTCGCCTGATGAATATTTGCCTATCGCACAGTTGTTTACCAGGATGGGGAAACCTTCCCCCGTTCGGGTGGTTTAACTCCAGTTCCCATCTGCTCCAGCCAGCAGGGCCAAATATTTGGGACAAGGGGAGCTGGAGTCCATCCACATCTGCAGGCCCACAGGTTCCCTACCTCTCTGTGTGAAAGGCTGAAGGGTCTGCAAGAAGAAAAAAGATGGCAGCCCTCCCCTCAAATGAACAGCGCACACTTCCTGCCTCCCTTTGTGCGGAGCGCGCCAAAGATTGCTATTTTACACTTTTCCATACACTCCTGGATTAAGTGCACAGAGAGAATTTTTTTTAAAGGTCTCACTTCCTTTCTCCTCTGATCTGTTCCTCACATCTCTAGAGATTATGCCCAAATTTCAATATGCAGTACATCACACTGCAGTCCATGTTCTTTCTGAGACTAAAAAAATGCTTTGAAAAAGTTGGCCAGGGCAATCATAGTCACTGAGGCGTTTTATAGATCAGTCACACAGATAGTGGTGTTTTGTCAGACTTTGGCACTGCAGTGGAGGGCCCACACTGCAGGGGAGAAGTTTTGGATCCATGGCAGTAGAGAGTGGGGAAATGGAGTCCCAGCCCTCCTCATAGAGAGCCAGTGTGGTGTCGTGGTTAGGAGTGGTGGACTCGTAATCTGGTGAACTGGGTTCGCGTCTCTGCTCCTCCACATGGAGCTGCTGGGTGACCTTGGGCCAGTCACACTTCTCTGAAGTCTCTCAGCCTCACTCACCTCACAGAGTGTTTGTTGTAGGGGAGGAAGGGAAAGGAGAATATTAGCTGCTTGAGACTCCTTAGGGTAGTGATAATGCGGGATATCAAATCCAATCCCCCCCCCCCCCGCTCTTTGTCTACAGGCCTTCACTAAGTTCAATGGAACTTGCTCCCAAGTGAGTTGGGTCAAGGATTGCAGCCTTAGCTTTCTCACTTTTTCATTTCTAGAATGTATTGGAGTGCAGCTCCCTTGGATCATAAAATGTGCTCCAGAGTTGAACCCTAGCACAGCAGTTGGACTGGCTACCAGCTGTCAGCATGAGAAGCAATAGAGCCCCGCTAATAGGAAGCTGAACTTGGATCTGGGAGCCCAGGGGAGCCAAGGCTGACCGGAAAGAATTTGCCAAAGGCAATGAGCCCATTTCTGGAGTTGAACGGCATGGATCCAGGTCTCTCAATTAGTTGGATCACACGCTTTCAACTGTTGAGTGATGGCATGAGCCTTAAGATGCCAATTTTTATAAGGAATGCCAATTATTCTTCACTGTGACAGCTCCATATTACATTATGTTCCTGATTCCAGACTCAACAATGCCTCAAATCACCTTCTCTTTGATTTTTTCTTTTTCTTTTTTAAAAAATCTGGCAGTCCTGCTCAACACAGGCTATAGTAATCAGAACTATACTTTTGATCAGGCCAAATGAATTCATATACAGTACTGTGTCCAGTCTAAAAGAGATGTGCTATTTATATAATCTGAGGCAAAAGCACACATGAAAAGATAAATGACATTTATTTAGCACTCTGGCACTGGGTTATAGAGCAGCAAGGCATTTGGAAGTTTATGCTGAATGGTGGCTGATCTCATAGTGAAGTAGTAATTAGTGTGTTGGACTACAGCCTTGGAAGACCCAGGTACCACTCGCCACTAGGTTACAAACCTTACTGATCTTTTAAGCCAATCCAGGGCTGCCAACTTGAATAAAATATCATGAGGGCCCAGGTGACCCATGCCCCCACATAACTGATCACATGACACATAATCGATCACATGTGCATGCACACCATTTGAATGGGAATGCCCATCAACTTTGTGGGGGCCCAGCCCCCTCAAATATTTTATTGTGGGGGCCAAAGCCCCCAGGCCCCTGGGAGTTGGCTCCTATAAGCCAGTCACTGTCTTGCATCAACACTGGGTTGTTGGGAGGATAAACTGGAGAGCCGTATATGAGCTCCTTGGAGGAAATGTAATAAAATAAAAATAACAAAGTGCCATAAATATAAGCTTTTCTGCCATGGTTCTTTATGAAAGTGAGTGTAATGTAGTGGATAGTGCTGGCAGTGGTGTGGCATGGGGGATCAACAGGGGCAATTGCCCTGGTGCAAAATTGTTAGGGGCGCAAAATCCCAACACCCAGTTGTGCCTCAGTACAGCTGCATGTTTCCATCGCTGGGCCCCGCTGATAACGGCTTCTCCATGCAGACCAGGAAGTGACCTACCCAGACAATGGAACGACTCTTCTTTTGTGTTCTACACACCCTTGGCACACCCTTGAAATAACCTGCAGTTGAATTCCAGGATATGTAACAACTAGCTAGCAGTGCATTTGTATGAACCAGGGCTGGGGAACCCTTGGCCCTCCAGATGTTGTCGGACTGTTGCTCTCCTCATCTGCTGACCCAGGGCTAATGGGAGTTGGAGTCCAACAGCGTCTGGAGGGCCAATTTCCCCCACCCCAGACATAAATGAATGGAATTTCATGCATTAGTGGAACCAGCCTGTGAACAAACTCTCTTTGCCACTTGCCACTTACATCAATGCTCAGAACATACCTAGGCACACACCACAAGCCCATGTCACTGGGGCTTTCAATCCCTCTCCCCAAATTTCTCTGCAGGTAGACAGTTTCTTAAGCTTAAGGGAGAAAGCAGAAGGTCCTTCAGAATTAGATGAGGATCTCATCTTTATTGATCAGCTTGGTGTGTTGCTTTAAATTGTAACCAAATGCTGCAGCTCAGGAGAGGGAGAGTGCTGTTGCGCTCCTGTCCTGCTTGTAAGCTTCTCACGGGCATCTGCTTGGCCACTGTGAGAACAGGATGCTGGACTCGATGACCTTCGGCCTGATCTAGCAGGGCTCTTCTACAAACTATCCTATTTGAGTGTGTGCCTCATCCCTTGATGCTTGCATTAAGAGGCTGACACATTTCTGGAAATCCTTTGGGCCCCTGCAATTTCTTCTCCGTAACTGAACATTTTACCCCACTGTATGCTATCTTCACTTGCTGACAGGTATCTTGGTCCAACCAGGACTATGATGCTGGTGCTCCTCCTACCCCCTGGCACAGGTTAGCTTAACTTATAGCATGCAGTGGGATGTGGGTGGCGCTGTGGGTTAAACCACAGAGCCTAGGACTTGCTGATCAGAAGGTCGGCGGTTCGAATCCCCGCAACGGGGTGAGCTCCTGTTGCTCGGTCCCTGCTCCTGCCAACCTAGCAGTTCGAAAGCACGTCAAAATGCAAGTAGATAAATAGGTACCGCTCTGGCGGGAAGGTACCTGGTGTTTCCGTGCGCTGCTCTGGTTCGCCAGAAGCGGCTTAGTCATGCTGGCCACATGACCCGGAAGCTGTATGCCGGCTCCCTCGGCCAATAAAGCGAGATGAGCGCCGCAACCCCAGAGTCGGTCATGACTGGACCTAATGGTCAGTGGTCCCTTTACCTTTACTATAGCATGCAGTTGTTGTTTTTTCTAAAAAAAAATAATGTTTAGGGGTAGTCTCATTTTCCTACTCAATTGAAATACTGACCCTCAACAAGGCCTACCTTAGATTCACAAAATGTTTAGGATATGCGTACCCCTGCGTACCCCCAGGAAAAAATACTGATAGCATGAATAGATCAGAGTTTTTCCTCCCGTAAGAAGCCTGGGCAGGCCAAATATAGCGGGGTGGGGGAAGAGGAGAGAGAGAAAAAGGGAAGATTCCAACTCCTGCTTTTCTCAAATTACCGGGGATCACGGAGGCAAAGCGTGTATGGAGGGAAGAGAGTGGGGAGGAGGAAAGGGGAAACAGTTTCCCAAGAAGGGTAAAAGGCACGTTAAGTCAGCAACGTCCGTTGCACAAATCTGCAACATGGAAGAGAAACCGCAGGGGTCTGGCGCGGGGGCAAGGAGGAGGAGGAGTGGGCCTGGTGCAATCGCAAAGAGGAAGCGGCTTTCTCTTCGAAGCTTGTTGTTTCCTCGGTCGCTGGAGCTGCCCGCAGTTGCATTGCGCAACCGACTCCGGAAACCTCTAGCACCAAAGCAGCCCGCTTTGAGCAGCATCCAAAGCCTGGCCGGGGCTCTCTTGCTGCAGGGACGCGGAGCGGACGCTAGAGGGCGCCCAAAGCCCTTGGCCTTCCCCTTGCCGAAGCACTGGAACAAGTGCCGCGGCCCGCAAAGCAGTTTAAGAGAGAGGGAGGGGGCCGGGACAGTCCCACCTGCCGATGTCCCCCGAAGACCCTGTCGCTGCCTTCCCCTGCTTAAACCTAAGTGAGCTGAACGGGTGTGCGCCGGCGCGATAAAGCCGGGCAGAAGCACACTTTGCTCTGTCTCAGCTCTGCATAGATCGCTGCGCTGGGGCAAGCGCGGCTCGCTGGCTCTCGCCCTGCCTTCCGCGCACCAGCCCGGACAGATGCGCCTCCCTCGCTCTCTGCAGCCGTGAAAACAAGCCTGGCGCGCACAAAAGCCCGCTGATTCACCCGGCCGATCAGCACACGAACTCAGCCGGATGATGAGCAGCGTGGCATCTAAATCTCGGGAGGCTCAGCCTTCATTCTCGCCCCAATCCCTCTTCCCATTGACGAATGTTGCAACTTGGAGAGGTTTGAGCACGGCTCCTCCGAGCTGTCATCGGGGAGGGATCAGGAGGGCGGGGAGCAGATTTCAGGTGCGATCAAGACCTTTTCTCTATAAGATCCCTTAAACCAGGGAAAGAAAGAAAGAAAGAGAGAGAGAGAAAGAAAGAAAGAAAGAAAGAAAGAAAGAAAGAAAGAAAGAAAGAGACGCCGTCCAATAACAATGTCTGCATGCAAAAGTGCAAAAGAGCTGCGCCTAGGTTTCGGCCCCTTGACAGCAGGCCGTTCATGGCGCACGAGCAGTGAACGTGGTCAACTGCAAGTTTCCACCAGTAATTCTAGACTCTCTGGTGTTCACAGGTTTAAGGGTGCGGAGGGGAGACGTCTTTAGAGGGCCACGTGCGTCCTGCCTGGTCTCCCTTCCAAACGCGGTGAGCCGTCCGTGCTGCGCATAGGGTGCCTCCTGCTTTTTCTGCTGAGTCGGACCCTGGCCCTCTGCGCCGAAGGCACCGCCGCTGTTCCTTTCCACTGTGCTCTTAAGCCCACTTGCTAACGTCACTGGTGAGCCTCCCTAACCCTTCTCCAATAACTGTCTTGTTCATAACTGATGAATCAAGTTATTCACGTCAAGTTAAACATTACTGTCCGCCCAGGAATGGCAAGTATTTCTACAGAAGCCGGCTGGGCCTCGCCCTCCTGGACCAAAGACAACAGGACGCCCGGAGTCCCACGTTCCCTGCGTACGCACGATACCTTTAAAGCGCAGTCGATGCGCAAAAAGTTATGGGCACTGTGGTTCACCCCTCACAGAGAGACCATCCCCAGCAGCCCTTATCCCAACTCCAGTGCCCAGAATTCATTGAGGGCGAAACTTGCTTCGAATGTGCTTTGCATGTGTACGCAGAGCGCTGCAATCCGCGGTGCCTGACGGTCTACTTTAAGTCAACAGAGGAGTCCATGGGTTGCGCGGACTGGAAGAATAAACTTGGAACCGAGTGCCAAATCGTGCCCAGTCATGTCCGGTTTCTTGGAAGAGTACTTTAGGGAGATCAGGAAATCAACCCAAGATTTTTTTAGGTAAAGCCGCCGTGTGTCTACACGGAGATGGCCCTGGAAGGTAATGTGAGGATGGGCTGTCAGCTAATACAGTTCTTCGTTTATTCGCTGGGGGCAGCGTTCATTTTACATCCTGATCCTAAACATAAGCAGCCCCCTTAGCTATAATCCTATACACGCTTACCTGGGAGTAAGTCTCATTCAACTCATTGAGGCTTACTTCTGAGTAGGCATGTTTGAGGGTGAGCTGTCAACAATGCCTCAAGCGCTTCAAAGACGTACTCGCAGCTATTATCACTACTCGAATAACCGTAGAGTTATCCTCGAATTTTTGGGGGTGGGTGGGTGGGCGGGCGGTAGAGGATGAAAGATTAATGACTCAGGCGACATTTGAGCAGCGGTTTTTCTGGCCTGTTCATCGCCCCCGCCACACACGTCCCAT